TTAAAGACAACTCCATAATTACGGAGTAAATCCCTAAATTATAATTGCTTTTATTAACTACGTACTCCGTACGTAGTCTAGGTAGGTAGGTAAGTTGAGCCCTGAAATTAAGATCAGCGGTTTGAAAAAACCACGATTTATTCGGACTTTCGAAACTTACTTCTTATGGAAGCATCGCAGCGCTTAACAGGTAACTAACTATGTGGATACACAGTAGGCTGTGATGATGAAGTTCATGTACAGGCATGGCATGGCATGGCATGAAAAAAGTGGCTATGTAAGCAGGTAAGCAAGCAAGTAAACTTAGTTTTTTTATCCTGCTTGCATGCTGTGCCTGGTACATTAGAATATGGAGTGACTCCATCACTATGCTTGCTGTGTGATGAGTAGTTTACTCTTTTATTCTGGTTGGCACTTAAGGGTACATAGAACATGTGTTTTATGTACGTATGTATGTACGTATGTACTGTGATGCGGATGTGCAGATATGCATATTTGCCTTGTTTTCCATTGCTATACAATAGGTAGGTAGCACTCTGTAGTCATAGTTTATCACATATAGTCTTCTATACTATAAGCTTGAATAAAAGCAAACATTATCCATCCATCTATCTATCTACCATCTTATATGTAGATGGTTAATAAATAAGTAGGTATCCCGAATAAACACAACATAACACAACACAACAATATATTTCCCTCCCAGTAAACCCTATGTCTATCTACAAAACCCTCCATACGAAAATACTAAGTAAGTAGTAATGATGATATACTTCTGACCCATCCAAAGACCAACCAGATACATCATCATCCATTTAAGATAGAACTTCGTTCGGTATATAATGATATTCACACATCACATCACATCCATCACCCCGTAGATCTACCGATGGATGATGAACAACTGAAACCAATAAATGACCTCATTAATTCTCCGAGTTTCCCCTACCGCCATTATACTTAGTCTCATAACAGCAAAAGCAAAAGTAATACCGTATAGAGTATCAATCTACGGAGCTATTCCATTACTTCCCATATTTCCCGCTTACAAAGTAATTGATTAACAAATATTAATCATCATCATTATATCCTACAGTATACGGCAGTACTTTCCACCCCCTTGACAATAACTTATCCACGGTATACTGTACAGTAGCTGAGAGGCGCGGGGGGCAACACCACCCATCCCATCGGATTTACCATGTCTAGTAAAGCACAAAGTAACTGAAGTGCATAAGTGGACCGGGATCTCATCCCGTCTGTTAGTCAATCGATCAATCAAACCGTTAACCCTCAGCTGAAGCCAGTGGGTAAGTAAGTAGGGTGGCTGCCTGGACTTGTGTGGAGCACGCGGCACAAGCTGAGCCTCATTCATCATCATCGCCATCATCGAATGATTCATCCATCAATTTGAAGACGTTCTAGAAAGTGCTGAGACCCGCGGTTAGAACTTCCTCACTTACTTACTAGGCTTCTGGAGTGGCACGCGTCCGTCCGGGTTTGCCTCCCGCCGGGATCACGGATCATGGATGGATCCATGGGGCGTAGTCTATCAGTCCGACTCCAGCTGGGTTTTGCCACTGGACGTGCGTGCCCCGGATCCAACATCCCCATTCATCCGCATTACTCAGTATGGATAGTATGGATGATCGGATGCGATCTTCGTTCTTTTTGTTTACTGGCGAGTCATCTTGTCATACTCTTTCCATATTTTGGGACTCTGGTATCATCAGTGGCAACAGATCTTCGGTGGATATATTCTCAATTGAGAGGTGAAAAAAAGTACTACTATGACATAATATGTACAACGGATGGGCCCGCAATCATTTCAAAAAAGTATACTCCAGATAAGAAAGAGAAAAGGATCAGCTACACTGGCAGCAAGTGATTACGCCTTGGGCCGAGACAGAAACGGATGTTTCAACGCCTCTGTCGGCGTGCACCGCTTCTCCGGATTGAGGTTCAAGCATCGGTCCAGTAGATCCACAAATTGGGCCAGCTCTTTTGCCTCACTGTCTGTCATGCCTCGTGTCTCCTTGCCTCCCATTAGTCGGGTCTTCAAGTCCCGCGTCGGCTTCTTGAAGTCCAGCACCCGCGTGACTGGTCGCCCGGTGATCTTATCCTCTTCCATGCTCAAGAAGTTAAGCATGTCATCGAAGTGCATCGGCGTCAGCGACCCTCGCCGCAGCAGCTTCGGCGGATATTTGCCACGGCATTCCATGATGGATCGTAGCATCTGGTTGTTGTTGCGCCCCGTAAACAGAATCTTGCCCGTGTACAGCTCGAACAACGTGCAGCCGATCGACCACACATCAATGGCGTGGTCGTACGGGATTCCCAAAATAATCTCGGGCGCCCGATAGAATCGACTCACGAGATACGGTGTGATCTCGTTCTTCGTCGCCGGGGATGCCGACCCCAGGTCGCACACTTTGAGGATGTTGCGTTGCTCGTTGACCAAAAGGTTGTCGGGCTTGAGGTCCGCATGGAGAATGTTGCACTTCCGCATCAAGCTGAGTCCCAGGAATATCTGCTGGGCATACGCCCGGATGGCTCGCAGGTTCAAACCAACGTCGCGGCCGAATTTCTTCAAGACCTCCCGCAGGTTCATGCTCAGGTTCTCAAACACCATACACAGATGTCCCTTGTGGTCAAAGTACCGCTCAAACTTGATAACATGCTTCTTGTCCTCCGGATCGGCCTCGTGGAGCTGCTCCAGGATGCCGATTTCCTTCATGCCCGCCTTCTTCATCGTGTCATTTTGGCGGATGATCTTGATGGCAACCAAGCCACCAGTCTTGGAGTCCGTGGCGCGTACGACCGACGAGAACATGCCTTTGCCTAGATTCTGCTGCACATGGTATCGCCCGTTAATCAACTCACCCAGCCGGACATTGTAATATCCTTCCGGGTCGTCCCAGTTGTCCATCATACTGATGTCGAGCTCTTTGGGCTGCGGGACTGCCGACTTAGCCGATGCATGCGTTGGCTGCGTAGTCTCCTGCGTGTCTTCAGCGAACATATCATCGTCATCATCCTCTGCGAACATGTCATAAGGATCCTTCGCTTTGGGCTGAGGCGGGGGTTGAACAGCATCGGGGAGCAGGATGTCCTGTCGGGAGGTTTGCGTCTCGTCATAAGACGCCGCAGACAACTCCTCATTAGCACCACGACTATCATGCCTCTCCCTCTCCGCTTTCATGTCCAAGGTAGGGTCGTAGTCGGCTGCAGACGGACCATCTTTGTCCACACCGTTTACCGGTGCGCCGTTTATTAAATCAGCATCTTTGCCTACTTTGAAGTCAGAGAACAACTCCCCTGGACTATCAGCAGGTGTCTCAGGTGCTGACAACGGTGCTGCTTCTGTAAATGAATATGCTGTTAGCTACAAATTCACTCACTTCAACACGATCTAGCGGTCAGAAACTTACCAGAAACAGCACTGCCTGATGCGGCAGTATCAGCACCTGGAGTGGACGAATCACTACTGCCTTCACCGATGTGAAGTGCCTGCAAACGCATCGGGGTAGCTTGGCCGCGGTATTTAGCCCGGATTGCTTCACGTCGTTTGCGACGGGCCTCTAACTGGGCTGCTTCGTCAAGGGGTTCGGCCGGGAGTTGTTCGTCGTGAGTTTCGGACGCCCCATTCACACTAATGTCATTAGCTTAGTACCATCTACCGACTGGGAAGACCTACCTATCAACATGGGCATGTAAGGTGGCAGAAGCTTGCTGCACCTGAGGTTTCTGAGTTTCAGCATCTTGCTTAATACCTTGAGCGACGACTGGAGTGTTCCCTCGCTCGCTCACTGACTGTTCAATAGAAGCCCCCCTCCTGCGATTCCGAGAGGCAGTACTCTCATCTCTTGGAGACTCCCACTCATCTCCGGAATACTGCTTAGGCTTGCGAACTTCGCGGTACGGCGACCGGCTCCGCGTGCGCGCGCGTTTCTCTCTGCGGCGATCAGATTCGTCGCTATATCGAAGGCCATCGCCGTAGTGCTCTTCACGGTCGTAGTCATAATAGGAAGGCCGTGCGCGTCGGTCGGGTTGACCTCGTCCGTAGTACCGGCTGTCATCGTATCGGGATCCGACGCGTCGAGGCGGTTCGTGTCGGTATCGCCGGTCGTCATGGTCATAATCATCATAGTCATCGTCCCGGCGCCGCTTGTAGCCTCTGTAATCGCGGTAGGGAGAACGGGACCGCGTACGCGAGGTCGACCTGGTCCTGGTCCTCGATCTCCGGTGGCGTGGCGATCTGCTCCGCGTCACGGATGCAGGACTAGCTCTGGTGGGACGGTCAACGATGCTGCCATTAAGAGGAAGTTTCGACGTAGTTGCCTTCGTCTCTGAACCTGATTCGATGATCTCACCCTCTGAAGGGGTCGATGGAGACCTCGACCTGCGGGATGCCATGGTGGTGGTATACGACCAGGCTCACTCAGGGATCCTGAAGATGAACTAAAAAAAGGTATGGGCTGGCTCTTCGAGCAGCTTCAGAGACAAAAGAAGTAAGTCCCGGTTAGCAAGAACGTTTCCGACGAAGCGTTATTTGGGAGGAGTGTATTGAGAAAGTCCAACCGGCTGAGAATGCCACGGCCCTTGCCCTTGACTACCGTCTCAAGAAAGCATGAGACAGTGTTATTATGTGTGATTTTGTTTGAGGTTCCCTCGGATCCTTTTGTATTTCAAAAAGTAGATCGACAGAACCAGGATGGATGGGGTGAAGGATGGAAAGACTGGATGGATGGAAACTTGGCAGCGATATGAGGTGCGAAAGCAGCCAAAGTTGGGATGGGGAGATGCCCGGGCGGTGAGGGGCGGCCGCCGAAGATTTTGCGGCTAAGCGGAAAGGAGACTAGTGGCCCCCCGCGGGACAATCGCTGATAAGCAGCCGATTTTTTGCGACGCCGCGATTCTTCCCCTCCTCCAAGACTCGCAGCAAGCGCCACTTCACATCCTCTTCCTCCACGCTCACTACACTTTTATCCTACGACACAATGGGTGGTCAAAGCAGAGAAGGTAGGATGCTACCACCTATCTAGACGCTCATCTTACATAACCTCATACTGATCCGCTTTCTGCACAGGTGGCAAGGTCAAGCCTCTCAAGTCCGCCAAGAAGGACAAGAAGGAGCTGGACGAGGATGACCTCGCCTTCCAGGCCAAGAAGAGAGCTGGTATGTTCCCCGTTACATGCAAATCGGTGGTAGTCATTTTGCTAATCATAGTGGGCATCTACAGAGGAGAAGGCCAAGAAGGAACTCATGGAGAAGGCCAAGGGCAAGGGCCCCCTGAACACTGGTAACCAGGGTATCAAGAAGTCTGGAAAGAAATAGTCGGACTGTGGGCTTGAGGTTCTATATGTCCTCACGAGATACAACGAGCTACGACCCACAACTCGGTGTGGAGTATTTGCATATGCATTGAGCACTAATACCATGAGCAACCACTTTTCTTTGACACCTTTTCATTTCATACAATAATGCACCTTTGGCTATCCACCAGAAATACCATACCGTCAATCACCAGGATCAGCTTCATGATTAGGAGCCCCAACAAGCGGAAAGGGTATCATTGCGCACGGCACAGTAAGAAGATAGCCCACTGGCATCGTTAGGAAGAAGTAAACATAAACCCGCTGTATGCTGCCCAAGGGTATTCGCAACGCTCAAAGACACGCCCCGGCCAATATCCAGCAGCAGGAAAATCTGACCAAAGGATGGTGAAAAAGAAAACAAACAAAACGACAATGATAGAGGATACAAGGGAAGGGAAGGGGATCCTGAAAGATACCCAGAAAAAGAAATCCAATGGCCACAGCCGATGCTCTTCAACTAGTCACTCGTTTGACCCACAAGCTACCCCCACCAAACCCAAGATCGTCGCGCTTTTTCCAAGCCCTGAACAGCTTCAGACCAATTTCGTGCTCTTCCCGCTTGATCTCCGCAAGTTCTGTTTCAAGGCTGGCCACCGTCCGCTTCACCTCGTCCCTAGCTGCCATGTCGTAGGCAACAGAGCTCGGCTGGATCACTTGAGTCAATTCATAGATGATTGTTTCGACGTTCGCTCTCCGGCGCGTCAGGGTGTCTTTGCGAGCCTCCAACGTCTGGATGCGGTTCTGGATCTGTTCTTCTGGTGTAAGTTGTAACTGATCCTTCGGCGGTTCGGCTTCAGCGGCCTGCGCCGGCGTGGGCTTTCTGGTGGGCTTTTTTGCTGGCGCAACGTTACTAGGTACAGGTCGTTTGCGAGACATGATTGATGGGACGTGGTCAGTGGACTGAGATGCGGCGTCTATGCTACCGCGTGCACTTCCAACGGAGCTGGCGGTTTCTGTAGGTTCATATGTAGTAGCGCTGAAGCGGCTAGCAGGTTGTTCGGCCGCGTCATCAGTTGTCAACTTCAAATCAGCCAACGATGACTCCCAGTCATCTGGTGCGGGGAAATCAACACGGGGCGGCTCAGCACTGCTGACAATGCTCGGAGCCGGTTCCTCCGGGGTACGTGTTCGGAGATTATCCCGGCTCGTTGTGTGCTTAACCCTCTCCGACGCCTTTGGCTTGGAATCACCAGCCGTAATCGTGGTCACCACAGTCGGAACAAACCCGCAAGCGGCATAATCGGGTGTCGTGTTGTGCGCTTCCCTTAGCCGATCGTTACTCCGAGACATATGTACACGTGATGGTGATTTAGCCCTCGGCCTTTCCTGGATGGGCGCTATTATCGGAGCTCGTCCACTAGGTCCCTTCCAGGGCTCGCGCACGCCAGGTGGGAGCGTATTCTCGGTTTTGGACAGCCGGGTGCGTGGCTCCGATAGTTTCCTTTTTGAATTCAGATGATCCTTGCTCCAGCCAAAGATATTCGAGCTATGGGATGAGGTAGGCTTTGCCGAGATTTCGGTGCGGAACGAAACGCTGCCAGGAGTTGTCTGGCCAGATCTGCTGAAGTCGCTGGGCGTCAGCTCCCCAGACAAGTCGTCCCATCTGGATGTCTGGCTTCTTGAGGACTTGGGCGTTTGTAGCCGGTCTGCCTGCGAGTTGGCGCGCTTGCGCAAGACGGGCAAATGGCTAGCGAATTTGGTGTTCTCCTTGTTCTCCATGGATCCGGCGCTCGAATCGAGTATGAAGTCGTCTTCTATGGGTGACACACGCGAGCTGTCGCGACTCGCCGGTGGGCGACCGAAGGAGATGGGCGAATCAGGGGGCGAGATGCTTGCACTTTCGGGTCGATATAGGTCGTGAGTGAAGGTAGCTGGGTTTAGGAGATAATTATGCGATAGGCTAGCGGAACGCTGGTGAGACTGGTCACCAGTTGCGATGTCGTGGGCATGGGAGGTGGACGCGACCCGTCGACCCGTGTCGGGGCGTTGCGCAGGAAGGAGCGAGTCCGTAGGGTTGCTAGAACGTATTAGAGAACACAGCTACGTTTGATTACAGTCAGGAGAGAAGGATGAAACGACTTACCGGGCAATTGCGGGACGAGACTTGGGATGAGCCAGTGTGTCACTGCTCTGGTTGCCCGGAGCGGGGGACAGAGACCGGTAGACACTATCATCTAGGGTCTTGTCGATCAGTGTAGGCTTCCCGATCACGGGCTTCCGCGAACGATGGAAAGACATCTTCCCCCACATGTTGCCGGTTGGACTCTTGGGTGATAGAATTGGGTGGAATTGAGGGAAGATCGGTGGTTAAACTGATTCAACAAATAAGTATCAGACCCCGCGAGGCTAGAACGAAAGTCCAAAATTCCGGAATGTGACCCGTATCTCAACGCATACCTTTTAAAGTATTTCTAGATCGTGGTGGAATGGCTAAGCAAGGAGTGACACAAAACGGTCGCTGATTAACATAGACGAAGAAAAAAGCAATATAGTTATGCTATGGCGAATAGAGGTGGGTTTCATGCAGCTGACATGCCTGCACGTCAGAGAGTTGAGCTGAATTTGGAGCACAGCAGAACGAAGGGGAGGGGAGGGAGAGAGAAAGAGAGAAGACGAAGAAGGAGGAGAACTAGTGGAGAAGAGCGAGTGAACAATTAATTAAAGGGCTAAAGCTGGTGTTATACTACAGATAAGACCAGGCAATTGGCTTGAAAGAAAAGAAAAATAAATTAAAAACGCACGCAGATGCAAAAGCGAGGGGAAAGAATGGAGAAAGAAGGAAAGAAAAAGAAAGAAAGAAAGAAACACAGCTAATCAAGGTGGTTCTCTCTTTGGAAGCAAACCGGTTTGCCTGCGTACGAGAAGCGGAGAAAAGAGTAAGTAAGTAGCACGTAGTAGTAAAGAAGGGATGAAAATTAATGAATGAGAAATGAATGGAGGCACGGAGAAGCAACTGACAGCAGCAACACCAGCACTAACTAGTAACTACACTACTTGGATGCAGCCGGGAGGATCCTGTTTCAGAGTCAGTCGGTTAGTTGTGGATGGTCCTTCAATTCTAATTTTAACAGCCCCCCATGGTCGAGAGCAGCCCAACGCTCCATCGCAATTAGAGGAGCATCCCAAAATTAGTATAATTACTTTTTATTTAGTATAGCGATCCAGACAGCAATCTCCGTTGCACAGACTCTCAAACGGTCTCCCAGTGTCCCAGGAATGGTCCGATCAATTGATCTACCCTGCCTTAAGATTCTTTGGGTTAATCGTCCGAGCAAAGATTATCCACAACCAACAGTAGTAACTAGTAACTAAGTACTCTTAGTAACGGAGTAAACAAACACCTAAATAAATTATTCACTGCCTGACTCATCAGGCATGAACAAAACATACTATCACGTGTCGATAACCCCGTGCCGTACCGTATCAGTACCGTAATCGGCCCTGTTCTCCGCACTCAATCCCCCTTCACTGATTGGCTCTTCTTTACAACTTCGTCATGATCGCAAGTTCCGCGGCTCTCCAACTCCAGCATCATCATCATCTTCATTCCATCACTTTCTCTATCCCCCTCACCTAACGTTGACACACATCTATACACAATCTCCACTCAACTCAACTCACCATGTCTACCCCAGGTAAACCCCAACTCTACACCACTCCTTAAACCAACAATAACAATCAATCAATCAAACTAACTAACTCCATCCCTCCAGACGAAGCTGTCCCGCAGCCCGCCGAAGTGTCAGTTGCTTACTATCCTCACCACCACCACCAACATATCACCCTCTCCTCTACTCTACTCTACTCTCCCCGAGGAACCCTCACTAACAAATAATCACTTACATCCAGCATGACAATCGCCACCCCCATCAACCTCATCCTGCTCTCCCTCTTCGTCATCCTCGTCTACCTCCAACTCCGTCCCAAAGCCCCCGTCAGCCTCCCCAAGGGTCCTCCCCCCGTCGTCTTCCGCACCTTCACTCCAACCACTCTCCTCCCCTTCAACGGTGAGAATGACGCTCCCGTCTACCTCGCTGTCCGTGGTCGTGTCTTCGACGTGACTCCCGGCAGGAACTTTTACGGACCGGTACATACACCACCCCCCCCCCCCAAAAAAACAACCAGTATCCCCCTCAAATAGAAGGAAAGGAAGTAACGATACTAATGAATATCTATGAAACGTGCAGGGCGGTCCCTACGAGAACTTCGCCGGTCGCGACGCTTCCCGCGGTTTGGCCTGCCAGAGCTTCGACGAGGAAATGCTCACCAAGGATCTGAAGGGTCCGTTGGATGATCTGAAGGATCTGGATAACGAGCAGTTGGAGAATCTGCAGTCGTGGGAGGAGCGCTTCTCCGAGAAGTATTTGGTTGTTGGGAAGTTGGTGGCCGAGGGAGATCCGGAGGCTAAGAATGCTTGATTTGCTACCCTTTGAATGTTATATGGTGGAGTGGGTTTGATGGGCTGGGATGGTGGTGTGGTGGATTGTGGGTTGGGATGAGCAAGAGGGCTAGATAGATGTACGTTTGGAGATTGTTCCAAGGGAATTATCATCGAGTTCGGTATAAGCGATTCATATCTTATTTTCAAAAGCGTTGGTATTTTAGTCATGCTGATTGAGGATCCATTCAATTCAGTTCAATGGGTTTCGGGATATTAGGATGGTATTACTGATACGATCGGATTATTGTACACTTGGTTGCATTGTTCGAAATATCAGTAACTACTAAAATTTATTACTTGAAGAATTCCACTTCCACTATTCATCCTTTCCTTCCGTCCCCAACTTTTGCACCAGACAGGTTCCAGTGAGTATCGTAAACCGTCTCCACCCCCTCTCAAGACCCGCAGTCATTATGTGATGTCATAACGTCGTATCCCACGAACAACGCCCCGGGAAAACATGAATAACAGTGAAGGAAAAGTATCAGAAGCCAGGTTGGGCTGTTCACAGTTCGACCCGCATGCTCGAGGCAGCATGGGATCCCTGCGCCTTGGCTTTCTCAGCAGCCTCAGAGCCCTTGGCCTTGGCCTTCTCAGCGGCTTCCTGGCCCTGGGCACGACCACTGGACGCGCCAATCTTCAACTGGTCTAGAAGCCACTGGCCGGCCTCTTGCATCTTAGCGAAGATAGTTCCCGAAGGAGACGAAGTGCCGTAGCGGAAGTATTCGGCATTACGGCGAGCAGCGGCGCGAAGTTCGTTGATTCCGGAGCCCTGGTAGACCGGGATGCCGTACGAGTCAAGGTAAGCCTTGAGGTCGGAGTGAGTCCAGGTGTCGAAGGCGGAACCCTTGGCTGCATCGGTGGCCTGCGCCATGTAGGAGGTGGCCGATGCGAGGTTTGCACCGCCGGCCTTGGATGCCTTGGCGTAGTTGTCCTGGGCTTGCTTGACAAGCTCGTCGCGAGTGATGTCGGCGCGGTGGGCTGCCTTGGCGTTCATAGAGGATAGGTACTTCCTAGATGTATGTTAGAATATTTCCACAATGATGTTGAATCTGGAGGGACTTACTTCAGGTGCTCGGTGTCCCAGGTATCAAAGGTCCAAGCAGACCAGCCAGTGGCTGCCTTGTGGCTGTGGAGCCTCACCTTAGCAAGGAGCTCGTCACGCTTGCCGCTCTGAGGCACAGGGACTCCGCGGGCATCGAGGAAAGCCTTCAAACGCGAGTCGGACCATCCTTCAATGACGGTGTCGAAGCTATCTTGGAACTTGGCCTGAGCAACATCTGTGGCCTTTTCGTATTCGTTACCAGCTTTGGAGGTTGCGGCACCAATGATCTGAGTAGCGGTGGACGAGATGGTGGCAGAGGCCTCCGAAGCCTGACTAACCAGAGAGGCGCGGTGCTTCCTCGCCAGAGCCATGAGTTCATTGCGTCTAGATCCCTGGGGTACCTTGACACCGTGCTCATCGAGGAACTTCTTCAGATCGGAGTCGGACCAAGCCTTGAACAGGGCATCGCTCAGAGTAGCCTGCGCAGCTTCCGCGGACGCGGAGGCAGAGGCAGCGATGCTCTTCGCATTCAGACTGGCCAGTCGAGCGTTACGGCGAACCGATGCAATAAGTCTGTCGCGTGTGGTGGGCTGTGGAACCGGCCAGCCACGCTCATCAAGCCATTCCTTGAGATCAGACTCAGTCCATTGCTCATATACCCAGTTACCAGGATAGGCGACAGCCTCTCCAAGCTTCGTGGCAATAGACTCATAGTTTTCGCGAGCAGTTTTCAAAAGCGTGTCACGCTTGCGAGGCTGGGGAGCAGGAATACCATGACGGTCAAGGAACGACTTCAACTGGGAGTCGGTCCATCTGTGGAGACTATTAGTACATTATAGTTACATGGAAGACAGCCTCGCGTGATCTTACGTGTCAAAGAGCCATTCCTTAGCATCATGCCAGTGATCATGAGAGTGCTGTGTAACATGTGCCAAGGGCTTTTGGACTTTAGCTTCCCAGTTGGACTTCACAAGGGACTCTAGATCCTTGCGATCGGCCGGCGATGGGTACGGGATGTCTATAGACATTGTTAACTATGCAACAGAGAAAGATATATACGGGAAGGAAAGCATACCATGATCAGAAAGCCATCTTTCTAACTCGGTTTCATGCCATTTGTTGTAAACTGATGGATGTTAGCGGTTGTCTCGGCATGGGAGCAGTCAAAGCAGTCAATGGTGTAGAGGTTGACATACCAGCCTTGCTAAACCAGCTGGAAGCTCCAACCGCCTCAAAGGTTGCGAGCGCAAATACCAGATACGAAGCCAAATGAAGCTTCATCCTGGCGAGAGGTAGAATTTATATCGAGCGTTGATAGTTGTTGTTGTTGTTTGCTTATAGAGTCAAGGTCAGCCCTCGTTCTACCACGAACCAAGTAAAGTATAAGTGAGAGCAACTTACAATTGTGAATAGTGAGATCTTAAGCAAGAGAGATTAAGACCACAACGTCCCGGGATGAAGATATTTATTGGTCGCAGAGCTGGCGATCTCTCGTCACAAAGAAGAATCAGGGAGGCGGCGCGGGATGAGCGTCGAGTGACGTATGACGAAGAGCAGGCCAGCTTCCCCCAATTCTGGCGTCATCGATGATAGAGTGGCCCATAGTTAGTGCCCCAGCTGCAGTTGAGTAAGCTTTGCTGGCTTGCTGGCTGACTCCATTCACTGTCCGGTCCTTTGTCCCACCGCCTGCGACCGGGGGGAAAACTTTCGTGACTTGGTTGACTCTGTGAACAAACAATAACTAACTATACATCAAGTATACTATTGATGTTTCTTAATGCAAGGCACATGATCTGCCGCTAACTCTTTAGGGCGATCGGCCCAGCCTTGCCTATTTGGGCAATGCGGAGACGGGCGATAAGGAGAACAACTGCTTAGTGATGGCTAGTCAAGGGAACTAATCTGCTAACTCATTCCTCACTCCTCCTACTTTGGCACTATCTACCCTACTCAACTAATATCTACCTGACAAGTCATCCTCATCCACTTCCTCTGCCACACAGGTCCAATCAACGCGGGTGTGTGCTGGTGGTATGAGAATGTTGTTTTAGGATCCAATAATCCGCCGCTGTCTCGGGCCGCCTCCGCCTTTCCCTCCAAACCGCCCCCTATGCTCGGGGTATATCTAATGGTCTAGCTGTGCTCGACGTCCCGCTTGCTGAATTAATTGATTTGATTCATACTATCTGTCTGGAACAGTTATCTCTGGCTGGTGACAGCCATATATCGGGTATATACGTGGTTCTGTGTGTGCAGTCATAGCTGCTTCTCGACATGGATCTCTCCAATCCGCGATGCGAGCATCTGGCCTCGCCTGATATCAAAAACTTCATCCTCTCCATGTATGTATTGATTTCCAACCATTACCCAAGTCAACTCTAGCTCAAGCTAACTGCATCCAGCCTCATCGTCTTTGGAATCCTCCTCTCCTACACCCCCCAACATGTCCGCATCCTAACCATGAAGACCTCCTTCGGTATCTCACCGTACTTCGTCCTCCTAGGAACCACATCTGGTTCCTCGGCACTAGCCAACGTAATCTCGCAACAACAAAGCCTTCACGACATGGCCTGCTGCAAGGAAGTCAACGGGATGGGCTGTTTCGCAGGGATTCTCGGAATCCTCCAAGTCGGAACCCAATGCCTTTGCTTCTTCATCATGTAAGTCCGGTGCCATCTCCAAACCATCCCACCCTAAACTAATCGCCAACAAACCAACCCCAGCCTATTTCTCTTCGTCCTCTTCTTCCCCCGAAACACTTCCCACCTCCCCAAATCCAGCCCAACCTACCGCACCGCCCTAACCGTCGCCGTCATCTGCATCCTCCACGCCGCCGTCATGCTCATCACCACCCTCGCCGTCGGCTACACCCGCCCTTCTTCCCTCCAAGCATGGTCCAACTTCTGCGGCATCCTCTCCGCCCTCCTCGCCTCCATCCAATACTTCCCTCAGATCTACACCACCCTGCGACTCCGCTGCGTCGGATCGCTTAGCATCCCCATGATGTGCATCCAAACGCCCGGCAGTCTCGTCTGGGCAGGCAGTCTAGCAGCGCGATTAGGTCCGAAGGGATGGAGTACATGGGGCGTATTGATTGTGACGGCTTGTCTGCAGGGGACGCTGCTGTGCTTAGGTGTGTTCTTTGAGTTCCTAGGACCGAATCGGGGACATGGTCATGAAGGACATGATAAGGATACTGAGGTGGTGAGGGGAGAGGATGGGGAAGAGGAGGTGGCGCATGAGGATGATCAGGACTTGCCGTCCGAGGAGACGCCTTTGTTGAGGGATCAGTGATGGACATCTTCATTTGTTTGGCTTTTGGAGAGTCTGGTATATGGTTGGTTGAATGAATGGTTGGAAGATGCAAAAGCGCAAAAACTGTACTTCTTCTGAGATCGTCCTGTTCTGTTCCGATGCCATGTATATCCTACCTACATACCTTGCTTGGATAGACTATACTTCTTGGCTGCAATGTATCAATCGCTGCTGGCGCAGCTGTCCATGATTGACTGTGCTCGGTTCCAGGCTCAAACATGATAGAGAGAAACGGGTAGATAGTATAGTATATATATTAGTGAACAAGGAAGAGAATAATATAAAACTCTCACAATGAAAGGACAGGGGAATATAATTGAAACACAGCAACCAAAAGCAACGTGTCGATCCTCTTGGAACTAATTCATTAACTTCATCTCATGGAAAGCTGTCTACTGGAATGGGCCACCCCTAAATCACCCATCACACACGTCACACCAAAAACCCCGCTAATTCCTCATGTTTCAGATTTAACCCATGATGAGACGGAAGATGTCGTTGAAGACGTAGTAGCTGCCACCCTCGGGGTTGAGAGTGAAAGTCTGGGTGTAGTTCATGGGACGGGGCTCATCATCGACCTATAAGAAAGGCGGAATAAAGTCAGACAAATGAACAGCAAGCCAACCTCGGTTAATCTCGGGGTGCGGGAAAAGAGGGAAGGCATCTTCCGCCAACGAAGACAGGGTACATACGATAAGGGCACCGGTGACCATGACGATGATGCTGCCGTTAACAGAGGGCTGAGCATCGAGAGTGGAGATCTGGTGCTGGACCTTCTGGAAGGGAAGGCTCTGTAATGTGTCGCATCGCATGTGTCAGTCAAGCTGGTAATGGGTCTCAAGCAAAGGCTAGTGAGAAAACTAACGGTCAGCTTCTCCATGATGGGGGCGACGCTCATCTGAGAAGAGGTCTCGAAGGTGAGCATGGAGTTATCGCGCTATCAATCAGGAGAACGAAATCGTTAGCCAAATGAGAGCATACTTTATAGGGATTGCGGGGGGGTATCTAGCGTACGTAGAGACCGGCCAGCTGCTGACGGTCCGAGTCAAAGGTCTGGTAGTAGAATTGCACAAATTGCTCTGTTCGTAGCGACATATGTTAGGCCATGTTATGGGGGGCAGTCTATTTGGGTAGACTCGGGTATCTGCGACGCATATGGGAATAGGAGGGGACTGTCTGATGCGACGATGCATGCAGTCATCTCCTGATTGATGGGATATGGGGGCCAGATCGAAAATAATAATACATACGTGCGATGTTCTGGAAGTCTAAATATTGAAGGCATTGCGTTAGCTTTCATTGTCATGATTATATGTGAAGGTGGTTGTGTGTTTCGCCATGGAGGGGAGCCCAAGAGCCTCAGAGAGGGGCAGCAAAACATCAGATGAGATGGACGGGGCGTCGCATCGAGGAGAGCGACGGCGCAAGAGCGGACTTACCGGCCATTTTGATGGATGTGGTATTTGTGAGATCTAAAAAGAAGAGGATGCAAGGAGATGAGGCAGTGGCAGTGGGATAGACAGGAAGGAAAGAGTCGAGGTTGACATCAACATCAAAAGTATTTCCGTCGCGAGGGGAATTGTGGGGCGCCGCCAGGGTCGGTGCCTTAGCGCCCTTAAGGCAGCAAGCGTGCCACTCTGCTGACTTCTTCCAGCCTCACTTTAGTTAACATAACTAGTACATCTTGTTGACTTATAGTTTCTACATCTGCAACCAAACACCTACTACACCGTAAACTGCCTCCATTGTGATGTGCATAATACGAGAAAAGGTATCGTAGCCCGACATTATAACCTAGTAATATAGACATATCATTCCGTCTTCACCATTCATACCCGAGCAGCCCTATATCACTCATCGTCTGAATCGGCAAACATATCTTCGGCTTTGGGCCGCGGCTTTCGGGCTGGCGGTTGATACTCCGGTTGGGCTGGTGGCTCGGCTGGTTTTTGCGGTTGCTCTTCCGACTCCCTAGGATCTTCCTCTGCAGCAGAATCTTCTTCCATTGGCTCTCCATCCGGCCCTTCCAGATCGCTGTCCTCCATGGGTTCTCCATCAATATCACTCATAGATTCCCCATCAAAGCTCTCAGCTGCTGCTGGTGCAGCCGTCGGCTTATCGATATCCATCCGCTGAGGATGTGTTTCAGACGCTCGCCCAGGATCAAACTTCCCGGAGGTAGCATCTTCATCGACTGTCTTCCAGCGGCTCTTGTTCTTGGAGAATGCACTCGCGGCGCGTTCGGCCTCGGCCTTCTCCCTCTCTTCCCGTAGCTCCTCTTCTGTGAGCGGCGGCTTCTCAAAGATCTGGAAGAAGTGTTCTTGGCTTGACTGTGGAAACACACACCAGCCTTCCCACAGATGAAGAAGAGTGCCAACGCTGCGCTTCCACTTTTCGGCCCTCAATCGTCCCCATCTGAAGTCCTTTTCAAGTCTCCCTAAATGCTCGAACACCTGGTGTGTCTTCAGAGCAGACTCAAACAGCTGTCGGTAGCGCCAAGCATGTCGCACCCCGCTCGTGGCGGAAGATGAGAGGATGTCAGATACTAGATAGAGACCGACTAACTTTGCAGCTGATGTATCCAGATTCTCCTTCGTCGGTGGCCGCCCTTCCTCGGCGGGATTATCCTTGGCTAGGTCTGCTTGTTCCCGCCGGGCAATTCCTGTTTCTGCCTCCCGATCGGGATTCGCTCCAGTGTAGGCAAACGGGTTCATGATGTTCGATACAATCATTTCCACAACTTCGTCAGCCCCTGCGCCCGCGTGCTCAATGGCGAACGCAGTAACTCGAGCAACGTCGCCCTTTCGTAGTTTGGCATGCGTAGTCGGAAGTCGAGCAAGCAGGTGGGTTAGCTTGGCCTTCTGTAAAGGGTTCATATAGCCCAGTCCCTCATTTGCAGCGCCAGGACCCTCTGCTGGCGGTGCACCGCCAAGGTTCCGCCTTTCGTCCTCATAATCAGACATCTCCTCGTCAGAGGAGTCGTAGTCATCGTCCGTTACAAACTCGTCCATGCGTGTTGTATACTCGAACTTGATATGTGCCTCCGGCGGGGTCCAGTTCGCACCACCTTCGAATATAGTGCATGATGGTTGCGGCCTACCCCGTCGATTTGCAGGAGGGCGGGTATTGGTGAGAATCTCCCACAGCTTCCACCTATAGTACACCCCACCAGCACTTCTAGCATTCCAAATCCATGCCCATTTCTCGTCTCTTTGAACCTCGGGTCTGCTCATGAGCAGCGCCTCAAACTCCGGCCCATAGCTCAATAAGTTCTCCAGTGTCTTGTGTATCAACTTCAGTTGTTTCAAGTCTGACGGTGCCTTCACCTCAACCTGGGTGGAAGGACCAGGCCTCCCATAAGCCAATCCGTACGACGATGGTGGTGCGAATCCTCCACGATGCATCCCCGGGGGCGGAGCACGATTGAGCCGTCCGGGGATATCGGGCGTTATGGACTTGGCGCCGAAAGGAAGAGAGCTTGCAGAAGACAGGCCGACGGTGACCGGCATCGTCGAGCCAATAGCAGCAGAGGAAAGGTGTCTCGATATTGTCAAATAGTATCCCCATCCTAGATATCTGTTCTGTAAAGCGCTAACGGTGCTATCGATATCCGAGGCCGCAGACTCATTCGCCAGAGTCACAATGGCGGCTACCGATTTCCGGTCGTTTGTAGGCTGACCTGGGGGTCGCAGGATCTTAACATTATCGACAGTCAACACGGAGGGTATCAAAGACTTGAGCACCGAGGGCGAAGTCCCCGGCGGTAGAGACGCAAGATATAAAGTAGGTTTCGCAGCAGCCCGTTCAGCCTCTTTCGCATCAGCAGCTGCTTCATCCTCATCGTCCGAAGCACGGAAAGCCGACGCGGCAGCCGGTGCAGTATTATCAAACCCCAATACCCCCGATGCCGTATCCCGATTGCGGTGTATTGGCTGGAACCCTTCATGTGGGCGCTTTCTCGGAGGTGGTGGTCCAAGAGTACCAGGACCGCTCAAGCGCGGCCCCGAGCTCGTGAAATGGCGTTTTCCAGGGCCACCAAAGCCTGGGTTTTTAGGCGGGAATCGACTCAAACGTCCATCGGAGGAATGTCGGTCGTGAGCTGGCGAGTCATCTTCGAATGACTTGACGAAGTCTTCGTATACGGCGGCGGTCTCGGCTTGCTCGCGGGCTCGTTTGGCTTCCGCTTCGGCTTTCTGACGTTCGAAGAGCGACTTCTTGGGGATTGCGGACAGTTTGGCCGGAATGTCCGGGAAGCCCTTCGATTTCGACTCGTCCGACATGGCGGCCAAGCTTCAGCGGCAAGAAGCCTCTTGTTGGGGGAGTAGGTGTGTTTGACAGAGGGGGGAATTGGAGAAGCTGGTCGGTCGGTCGGCCCTGGGCGCGGAGGCGGAGATAGACTTGTTGCGGCCTGAGGCATACGTGCATCAACATAGCTGCTGCGACTGCATCTTTCTACATTGGGATGCTATCTGCATGTCTAATTGCGAGTGACTTGTTTGTAGTACTTGCTAAGTATGTTGTTGCTGCAATTTATCATCTTGGACAAACACAGAGAGCCAGGGCTGCAGGCATAACGCTTATTAAATTATCTGCAGACGAATAATGCAATGGTGCAATAGCAACGAACTGACCGAATACAGAGCCATTGAGTATTATCTCAGTGAGTAATGCAACTACGATAACTTGCCATGTTACTAGAGTACAAAAAGAAGGAAAAGCAAAAAAAGATGGGAATGAGCCCAGCCCGGCTCGATCGGACAACCTTACGATCTGGAGTCGCTGTTGAAGTGGTTAGTGGATGTTGGAACCATTGTTTGATTCAGTGAAACTTACTACGCGCTACCAATTGCGCCATAGGCCCATTTGTTGAAGAAAGCTTTCCGTTGGTCAAGCCATATCGAGCTTAATAAAGATCCGTATAGAGTATGCTCGCTCGTCGATTCTTCTTGGAGATAGCATTGAGGTAAGCATGAACGGTTGATAACAAGTGATTACTGTTCGTTCATTAGAATAAGAAATTGCCATAGCGCTCTTATGTTTGGTGATTAATATTGTCTTGCTAGCTTTGGTTGCCCCGCTTTTTTTTTGTCTCAGTTCACGTTTACGCTCTCTTGCTCTTTCACTGTCTACTAGCTCTGGTGGCAGTATGGCAGCGGTTGAGCTCTGGCTTGTGTACTAGGTGGGATTTGTATGCTACTCCTGTCGATTCATATGTTGTTGTTGGCCTTTTTTGTGGTTGTGTCGCAATAAACTCCTCCAACGGAGGAGTCGTTACTTAGATGTGTGGATATATATTCCCGTAGGATCATGCACAAGTCATGCCACCAACCCTCGGCTACCGGTGATTTCCAGTAAACTATACTAGTGGTGATACGGTAACCTAATACCAAACACACCAGCTACGAAGGCACTCTTAATGGGTAGTACCGTGAGTTCTCCATGACTGGTGGCATGCCAAGGCTTTCAAGTTGTAGACCTCAAATCCAGTAGCTTTAGATGGAGTATATATGAGAGGCTCGGATACCAAGCCAACTGCCATTAAATACAGACCATGCTGCTTTGTGCCGGGCGGCCTATGTCCGACTCGTGCACCGAAGGCATGACATAGTGGCACCGAGATCGTTGCCACTGAAAATTATGAGAGCGTAACATAGAATGCCACATAAAGACACCGCTAGACTTGCCTGTCTAGCCAATCCAGTGGTAGTTGGATACGTCGATAGAATAAACCCCAGGACCCGAAAACCACTTCCCCAAGCGCACGGCGACAGCGAACTGTTGCCTGATCAGCAAAGAAATCCTAGTGTACCCCTGCGGAGATATGCGAGACGTATCCATACGGGGATACCAGACTGGCCGGCACACATTATCAGCACACATACACCCCCACTGTTGTTAAGCGTCAAGAAAATGTTCATACTCAGACCGCCAAACAAATGCGAGAGCATGCAAAGCTAAGATGACGATCCTACCGCAAGACCAAAGGAAAGATCCGTGCGTGAGATCGGACAATGGCGATATCGGTGCGTCACTGAAGGAGTAGAGGATGTCTGACGTGTGAACTAGAAAACATGCGCGCCAACTAGTATGCTTGAAGTAAGTGATTAGTTCACCCAATTGCCAGACATCTCTGTAACAAGGTCGAGAAAGAACTCGAACCAATCACAAAAAGCGTCCCAAACGATTCCAAAATGCAAAGACCGTTGAGAGGAGAATTCCGACGACTCCATTCTCAGACAGTCAATGCTGCCCATCCACCAATAGACGTGTAACAGCACAGCGAAACTGAGTGCCTCAGTTCGAGAACCTGCGGGCTCCGATAAAAACCCGCGTGTGTTATCGGATCATCCCAGAAGCACCACTGGGCCGATTACGAGTATCGACAGTTCCACTAGGCCCCGGGCGATTCCTGGTTACACGACCCAGGGACTGATGTCAGACAAGTAGTAGCAGCCTTATGCCAACCCAGGCCTGTTTTCCAACCCAAAGCATTGCGTCCTGACCGGTGGGGGATAATTCACGATCTGGCTTGGAATGTGGACTGAATGGAAGCTCTGGCCGGGCTTCAGACAGAACTTGCGGACTCCGTCGGTTGTAACTGCTATGAGGGTGTAGGCTCTCCACAGAGCGTCCAGGGTACCTGACAGCGGATAACCCAACCACATGGCATACCCAATGTAGGGGGTTCACGATGGTGGGCCATTTGGAACAACTAGTCTAAGCCAGTTGTGAACAGTGAGGGGTTCTGGTGGCTCCGGGTCTTTTCCTTGATTGTTGTGGCCCCTGGTCATCGTTGGTTCCCAGCAGATTGCAGTCTGACTGGTTGATTGTTACTAGCCAGGACTCCACCTTCAGAACCACTGTTCCTTTGAGATCAGTGCGTGGAACCATCGACGGGAAACTTCCTCTACTGTTGTGATAGTTAAACGGTTCAGCCAATCGGGCCGGCCACCAACACCAAAATGAGAGAAGGATGCCGCTTAATCATCTTTTCTTGATCAGAACAAAACGCGGCTTGAACAATGGGCAGCTTCAAGTTGTCGACCGTCTGAAGCCATACTAACAAACAAAGGCAACTCATTAAATAGTAAAACCTCGACCGAGGAAAAGCCCGCCATGTCTGAGACATAGGCACGATATGGCGGCTTTTTTCATGGCCTACTCATTGCCTTGTTCGTCATCATCCAATACCCATAGCTGTAATAAGCCAGTCTGGGAAGCTATGGGATCCTTGTGTCACCATGGCTTGCGGTCTGATTGGATTAGTATATAGGCATCTCATGCTGTCCATGGCAGAATATGTTGAAATCATAGTTTATAACGAGCTGGCATCATAGCTCCGGCATAGAACCCTATCCGTGCTATAACTCGGCACCAATCATTCGCTATGGGCAACTGCGTTTCTTCATATTGGGGGAAGTGGGCGTTGTGTGTACGAGATAGCGAGACTTCAACCCGATCTTGGGCTTCCACAGACTTCAGTGTGAGGTCACTTTTATCCCAGCCACTACCAGAGCAGCCATCGACCGAGCCGTCATCTCCCGAGCAGGGAACAGCGGAGCAGGCAGTGCTCGAAGAACCCCGAAAAGCATTTCATAATCTCGATACTCTTCCTGCAGAGCTATTCGACATGATCGCCAGCTACCTTGACCGGGATGGGCTCTATAGCCTCTATCTCGTCTCCCAAAGGGTGAGCAAACTGGCATACCCGTCCATTCTTGCTTCCTTACATGCCAGGAAACACACGAGGCTCACGCCCATAGAGATCGAAAACATCCACACTCTGGCGATTGACCCCACTATCAATCACCTTCCCAGGTCGTTGCATGTAACCGTGCCCTATATCGGGTACAGTGCTGCACGGAAGGTAAGTTGGGGGCGCCTATCTTATGACCGAAAGGCCCTTCATGAGCTTCCGGAGATGAAAGCATTGAGGCAGGACTTGAATCGGTTAGTCAACTGCAAAGAGTTTCATTTCACACTCACCAGGGCAGGGTCGACTTTGCAGAACAAAGTCATGTACATCGAGGACGCTCTTTATGCGGTCCTTGCTGAAAACACCATCCCGGTCGAGAAACTCATACTGGACAGCAGGGTTGTTAAGTCGCGGGCGAACGAGAAGTCAATGATGCACCCAAATCTTGCAAGGGTGTGGAGGCGCCTGAAGTCGCTCAAGATTACCGAGTCGCCCTCATTGGATTTCTCGAGAGGTACTGCTCTCTCCCACATCCTTCAGCACGCCCCAGAACTTCGAAGCCTTTCCCTTCACAGTCTAGCTGATACCCCTGCACGTCGCTCAACAATATTCAAGCTAGCCAGCTCCGCAAACATACGAACTAACCGACTCGAGAAGCTGAGGCTTTCGTATCTCACAGTTGAGCCGGAAGATCTGATCATGTGGCTGACACGCTTCAATAGTACCCTGAGGATACTGGACCTTCAATCCATTGGCCTGGCGCACGGAAGCTGGGTAAATGTAATTCAGCACATCCTCGACTCATGTCCTAACTTGCAGAAAGTTGTTGTGGACTACCCGTGGGTTTCTGATTGGAACCGGAGTGCCTGGGATAAATTTGAGTGCTCGGGGCCAGATATTCGAATAAAGCTAGAGCAATTCAAGCAGAGCGCCACCGAAGCCAAAATTTAACTTGTCAAGGGCGACGTCCTGGCAAGTATCCACTCGTTTGTGTACAAAAGTACCATCTGTGTATATGATTGAGTTTGGAGATGCTGTCTAGTACATAGATTCCTTTTGTTTGTTGTGTGTACATTTCTGTGAACATTCCCATATTTTCGTCGTGTCTATTGCATGTTTGAGGTTCCGATCTATGTGATGTAAGCTGTCCACCCTTTCGGTGTTGGCTTTTCTTTTTGTCAATTTTTCTTCTCTTCTTTCTTTTTTTTTTCTACCCCTCTCATTCATTGGCCCTTGATTAGATGGTTCCTGACAGGCAGGTACCAGATGCCATGGGTCGCCCACCATCCAGACGATCCCATGGTCTATATGACCGGCAGGAGATCGTGCATGGTAGCGAGCCAGGCTACCATTACTTGCTTAAACTATTGCCCTTAGCATAATGATAATTCAAGGAATTGTGTTCAACCATTGTGTGTGACTGTCACTTGACCTAGAGCCTGTGTGACAGGCCGGAAACGGCGAAAAGAGCGTCCGTCCATTCCTATGATATAATCGCCCGACCGCATGATAACCAAACCGCGTAGATCTTGAAGATGCGTGCATCCTTACCCAAGCCAGGGATTGCGCGCGCCTTTCCGAATTCGGCCAGATAGAGTTTTCCGAGCCATGCACTACTTTCAACTAGGTCCTCGCGGGTTCCACCGGCAGCACCTCACGAACCCTTCTTCAGAGTCGGGCGGATATGACTAGACCCCTCTGTCTCCAGTAGTGGCCGCTAGTTTGGTTGGTCCTGGCCGTTTTAGTTTTTTTTGTTCCTCGTTTTTGCCTCCAGCGAGATAGTCCGCCTCCTGGAGGTTGTCCGAACTCGAGGCGGATCATACCCGATCGAGGCAAAGAAGGTGTGGGTTTCCATGTGTACGGTTAGTTTAGCTCATTTTGGCATATTTGACTGTGGAGGATAGGGCGAATCAAGGGACCAGGGAAGATGAATGAATGGAATGAATGGAAAGAAGGGAATCGAAGTAGAAGAAAAAGAAGAAGCGCCCACAACGCAGAAAAAAAAAACAAAATATCCACCGATCGGATCAGATCACCTATGGAAAGGTCCATACTCATAGACGAGAGATACTTGGAATTAGCGAAGTCATGCTGCCAAGGAACGGGATGAATCCGGAGCACACCGCTTGGGATTAAGGGAAGAAGCGACCGGTGTCTCTGCTGCAGGCGCCTCTGACGACGATGGGGGGAAGGAAGATGTACGTAGTGTAGTGTTTCAGGCCCAAAGTTGCTTCGCAAGGAGGGAGAAGAGAGAGAGAGGAGAGAGGGAAAGTGGGAGTGTGGGTGCGTTACTGTGAGTGGTCACGCCTCCACGCCGGTTGCTTGCCGGGGTACTTTGCCTCATACTTTCAGCGCCGGATAGGGCCTGAAAAGATGACAAGAACCATGGCCAGTGTTTCACGTCTGTTATTCGAAAATTTTCGTTTTTTTATTTTATTTTTTTATCTTATTTATTTTATCCCTCTAGTTCTTTTGATCCTTTTTACTTACATAGAAGCAAGTGGATAGTGAATGTTCTAGGCCAACACGGCACAACAGAAAGAGAAAGGTAGACTACCCCGTATCTGTCACTACGACAGCGCGACTAGATAGATAGATAGTAAGTAGCCCGTAGTGGCGAGGCGCAGCAGTAGCTACATACCACAAATAGAACACACATCGACTATGACGGGAGGAGACGGAGTATCTATCTAGAGACTACGCAATAAGAATATTTGAGGTTGACAGTTAAATGGAAGGACTTGCTGAAATTTTAATTCCTTTCCAATGTCCCAAGTCCATCCTTTCGTTTTCATTAGCTTGATTCTTGTTATTGTTGCAATCCAGCGTCACTCTCTTTCTTGGGTCCCCGAAAAGAAAAAAGGCCGCCCACTTTTTTCGCTCGTTTGCCCACTTCCAAGTCCGCGCTAAACCCCCTTCGGCCACAACTCGGGCGGCCCTGGCTTCCTGAGGCAGCAGCCACTCCGTCCCCAACTCGTCCGACTGACTTGAATTGGCCTTGACTGGCTTGAAACTCGGCTCTTCTTCCCCTTCCCTTCTCCTCTTTCTCATTCCTCCCTCCACTACCTAATCACCACTACTACCACCACCACCATCACGACATCCTACCCTCTCCCACTCCATCCCACCAACGCTTCATCCTCTCCATCCTCAGCCTTTCATTTTAGATTCATATCTTCTCTTGGCTGTCGTGATTATTATCACTCTTTTATCCCCTTCCTCTCCTTCCGACTCGTCACTCTTTCCCGCTCTCTCTCTCGCTCTCTCCTTCTTAACTCTCAATCTCCTCTATTCGGTAATCGGCTTCAGTCGACCCAGGTGACTGGCCGACTCCTCTGAGAGATTGACTGAAACAAAGAGGTAGCCCGACAGGGCTGTTCAACGCCATGTCTGGGCGTCTATCATCCGACCACAACCGTTCCTTCTCGCAGTCCTCGCGACCCCCGTCTCAACAAGTCGATTCAATGCATCATCGTTCCATGTCTGGTCGCTCCTCCAACCCCAATGTCTTCTCCGACGAATATTCCTTAGAACCTATTGATGCCGAACAAGCCACTCTCACCCCTCGAAGCCCCTCCATCTCCTCCAGTGTCTCCTCCAACACCCTTCGTGGTTCGGTACCCCAACAGCAGCAGCCCAAGGCCTACAACACCATCCCTCCGACCGATGCCGAATTAGCTGAGGATCCTTTTGGCGATGAGGCTCGGGTTTCCTTCGATGAAACCCCCCACCGATCGAGTCTTCCTCCGAAGGGGGTGGACCTAGCGAATCGCAACTCTGTCGCGTCCACCGCTCCTTCCATCACCAGTCGCAGCCAAAGTGCCTCCTCGCGTTTCTCCATGCCCGTTCGGGCTTTGAGCCCCTACACGGGGGCAACCGGTCCCAGCCATCCGTATGCGATGTACCCGCAGGTCGGCGTTAGTCGCTCTCCCAGTGTGGCCACCACATCGACATTACGGCCGGTGGACCGACCGTTGGAGGACACGACTGCCCCTCAGCATCCGTATGCAATGTACCCACAGAACGTGGTGGCAGAGGATGACGGAATTGACAACTCCATGGTACCTTTGGGCTTTCCCGGACACAACGCGCAAGTCTATCAGCGACCACCCAACCGGGCCGATGACGACCTTGGCGACCTAATTGGACCGGATGGTCATACTGAACAATTACCTCCTTACTCTCGTTATCCCGAAAATGCTGTTCCCAAAGTGGAGGGCACCTTTGCGACCGTCAATGATGCTGGCATCATGCAAGACGAAATACTCCATAATGAGCGTGCTGGACCACCCATGTCGGAGGTTTCCTCAAATACACTAGTGATGGAAAATACAACCAGTGGAGGCGGTACCGGTAACGGTAACGGTAATGGAAACCGAGGCTTAGAAGAGCCGCCGGTCACTGGGGTCATGGCATTTGAGGAGAAATTGAAGAGTAAGGGCAAGAAAAAGGCATGTTGTGGATTGCCGGTCTGGACGCTGGTTTTGGTGGGAGTGGTTATGCTTATTGGAGGGTGCATTGGTGGTATTATTGGCGGCGTATTAGGGGCAAGAAAGGCAGCCGAGCAAGACCACGGAGGCCAGCCAAGTCGCCCACATATCGTGACCGTGACGGAGACGCCCAGGATGGACGCGACTCCAGTGACAGCCACGCCCACCAATTTGCTGACGCTTCCTACTGGCCAATACGCTATCCCCGCATCTCCTAAGAACCAGTCGAAATTCTGCGTGGCTGATTCGGACTACCGGGTGTCGTGGGGTTGCCTCAATTCGGGCAAGATCCCTATCAATGTTGGAGGCACGGACGAGCAACGCAATATTACATTCGAGGACTCATACGACAGCGCTTATTCTTCTTCACTCACTTACGGTGCCCAGCAGCCCGTCTTCTCTAACCCTACTCAGAATTTGAGTATGATGATGGACTCCAATGATCTCAGCTTTGGCCCAGCTTTGACCTTCATGACGTTCTACGATAAATTGGTCATTGTGCCGCAGGATAGCTTCCCATCGAGCTCGTCCTCCAAACGAGACTATGTGACTGAAGATGAAGTCGTGTCGAGTATGCTGAGTCGCAAGGAAACGGCTCAGGCCGGCGACAAGCCGTGGTTCTGTTGGTGGAATAGCACGGTCATGGAGTTCTTTTTGTACATCAACGAGACGACCAAGGAATATCAGTACAGCAGCACCGCAGTTGTGACGACGACAAGCACTCAGATAGCGCAGGCCACTCAAGGGAGCTCGAACTCCTACTCCAAGAGAGACAGCAGCAGCAGCATCGCCGACTACCCTCGCCGGATCAAGATGGAGGAGAAGCGAGACAACCCTTCGGCCGCCAATCCATACTGCCAGCAGATGCAGGTCCTGGATGACGGCCAAGTCGGCCCAATTTCGCAAGAGACAGTACAAATCAAGGTGGTTCAACCCACGCCGACGACGACCGTGGAGGCCGCCACGGGGACATCGCAGACATATACGGCCAAGGCCGAATATGAGAGTTATTGCTATTGCATATCCCTGACGGACTGATGCGGCGGGGCATGAAACCGAAGAACGAAGATGAAACGAGAGCGGCTTTTGTTTTCCAACGTGGCCTCTTACAACCACGGCGTCGGCGTTAGACCAAGGAACGATTTTCTTCTCGACTCACGTGCATACGAATGATTGTCTTGCGAAGACTGCTGGTTTTATTTCTTGGGTATGAGATCCGGTACTGTTGACAGAGTACGGCGTGCATTCCGTGTATTGAACACCCCTGAAGCTGGGTGGCATTGTCCTTGAGCTATTTTCTGGTTGATTTTGGCTTGTCTATTTGCATTGGCACATTTTCACATTTTCTTGTCCGACAACAGTTCGGCGGCGTTTTTTTGGGTGGGAAACGGTGCCAGGCACTATACACTACGGGCATGACAAGTCATTCGTTTAATTCTATCGAGGCCCGCAACAACTGGACCTTTCCTTGCTGGTTTTTGTTTTCTATTACCTTGTTATCGGCGGCCATCAATGGGATGGCGTTTGGTATTATGGCATTTCGACATGTTCTGGCAATATTGTCCGAATTCATTTGCTCTCATGGGCTGAATCAGCCAAGATAATAAAATCTGGGTTACAAGAAATGCTTTCGTCTCGCGGGCGAGTGTAACGAGTGCGTGTATTCAGTGGAACAGGTAAATCCTAAGAACTGGGGCGATGTTTGGTCGATCCATGAGTTGCGAGGTGAATGACCGGTCGGCAACGTCATGGCGATCGCGACATCGACCTCTGCCTCTGCCTACTATATAGGCGAACAGCCACTGAATGATGTTACTCCATACTATCTTTCTTTTTGAACTACTATCACCTATTTATCTATGATATATCTATCTGTCTGCTAGATTGTTATATTTCCATTACAGATATACCATCAATCAAGTTTGCTACCACATCCTACATCATGAGCGTCTTCCTCCGTAACCGCCTTTCCCTACGAGCCACACCCTCCTCCTCCATCTCCGCCCGCCAACTGGCGCCTCTTCGCAGCGCCTACTATCCCCTGGGACAACGCCTCTACGCTCACAGCTCGTACGGGGGCGAAGGCGACACCGAAGCCCAGCAGCCCAATAACCCGCGGAACCAGCCAACGCGAGACATTGAGCACCCAGGTATGCAGCAGTGATGTTATCCACCGGTCGCATAGAAGCTGATCGTCCGTTTCAAATAATTTAGGTCCGCCTGCACCGGACACGGGATCCGCGAAGAGCAGCAGCGGCAGCAGTGGCAATAGCAAGGAGCCATCGAACAAGGCCCATCCGACCCTAGCTGATGGGGATCAGTCGCCGTATGTCGATAAGGATGGGAAGACCTCGGCGGATGCGCCCGAGGATGTGAGACGGCATAATGAGGACATTGAGAAGAGGGCGGATCGGCCGTCGGAACGCCTTGGTTAAGTCAGTCTTTAATTGTTAGTTAGTGCGTTGTGTTCGTGTATGTTTTGTAATTTTTATCTGCGAGTGATGTGGAATAGATTGTGGATGGGAATAAATAAGTCTATAATAGTAAAGTACCTACAGTGAGAGAGAAACAGTGTGAGGGAAGTCCGTGCTCTGTTCTGCTCCGGATAGTACAGTAGTAGTAGTAAGTCTAGTCTAGACTGGCCACGTTACGACGAACGCGGATCTCCCGCGGCAATAATAATACCTAACCTAAGTCACCTCTTTTCTCCTGACTACAACAGCTCTAATCTGTCTGTCACCACCCACACCCACACACACACTCGCAACTCTATCTAACTGAATCCATTCCCTTTCTTTCACCGTCAAACACAATGGGCGCCGAAAACAAATACTCGGTCATCCTGCCGACCTACAACGAGCGCAGGAACCTCCCTATCATGGTCTGGCTCCTGGAGCGGACCTTTCGCGAGAAGTACATTCCCCCCTTCCAATACCATCTCCCCCCATACTTCCTTTCTCAAGCACAAGGCATACTAACAAAGAATTGAAATTGAAATAGCAACCTAAACTGGGAAATCATCATCGTCGACGACGGCAGCCCCGACGGCACTCTGGACATCGCCAAACAACTCCAAAAGCACTACGGCGCGAACCACATCCTCCTACACCCCCGAGCCGGCAAACTCGGACTGGGAACAGCCTACATCCACGGCCTGCAATTCACGACGGGAAACTACGTCATCATCATGGACGCCGACTTCAGCCACCACCCGAAATTCATCCCGGAGATGATCCGCATCCAGAAGCTGGGGGACGCAGACATCGTGACGGGCACACGGTACGCGAGCCGCGATGGCATCAAGGGTGGTGTGTACGGATGGGATTTGTTCCGCAAGTTTACGTCCCGTACGGCGAACCTCATTGCGGATGTGATGTTGATGCCCGGGGTGAGTGATTTGACGGGCAGTTTTCGGTTGTATAAGAAGAGTGTGCTTGAGAAGGTTATTCATAGTACGCAGAGTAAAGGGTATAGTTTTCAGATGGAGATGATGGTCCGCGCGAAGGCTATGGGGTTCAGGGTTGCGGAGTGTCCCATTACGTTTGTGGATCGGTTGTATGGTGAGAGTAAGTTGGGGGGTAGTGAGATTGTGGAGTATTTGAAGGGGGTGGTGACGCTTTGGTTGAAGGTTTGAATGAACTATTATACTGTGTATGTAGTTGGGTGGTGTGGGTGGTTTTCTTTTATACCCTCTTTTTTCTTTCTTTCTTTTTTCTAGCTTGAGTGCTCTGTATAGTATTTACTGGGTTCAATGTGTGTTGGTCTGCTGTCTATCTATATCGCTTATAGGTAGGGTTGTATGGGTTAGAGTCTAGCCAAATACCCCCTCACTCTCTCCACCAATTCCTCCTGTCCAACATCCTGCACATTATGACTCGCCCCCTCAATCACCGCACTCCCCTCCGCATCCCATTTCACCTCTCCAGCCCCCTCATCCGTCGCCTTCTGCCACCTCTTCATCAACCCCTCCACATCCAACCCAGGCTTCCTATACTCATCCGCCCCCGAATACAGAGCCATAAGCCTTGTCCCCAGTAATCCCCTCTTCCCCACAACCCCAAACGTCGCACGAAGCTTCTCATCCGCCAAATCCGCACTAAACAAATCATCCTGGCTCGGATTCTCAGGACTCTCGGGACTCGCCAGACTCAAGAACCGCCACGCATTGACCGGCGTCTCCGCATCCAACCCCACCAAACTCGTCAAATTCAACGGCAAAATCGCCCTCGGATCCTCAGCCACAGCAGCCTTCGCCAGCCCAACCAGCTGCTCGTAGGCACCTCGCGCCTCGGCCGTAGTGATGGTGATGTGCATTCCCTCGCGATCCGAAACGGGCGCTTGCATGATTGCGCCGTCGACGGGGGGTCTGGTGAGGTATTGGAGTCCGTTGACGGCGGGGTTGTGTGGGATTGGGTTCGGGGCTGAGAGGTAGTGAAGCACATCTTGAGAGCCGGTCGAGTGGCCCATTATGACGATTTTGGAATCAGGGCCTTTCAGCTTCCGGATGTAGGTTATGCATTGGGCGAGGTCTTCGATGTCGCGGTCGAGGCTGTTCACGCCCCAGCCTTGGTAGGAGGTTGTGAGGAGGACATTGAAGACGCTCCATGTGTTCTTGTTGTTGTTGTTGGGGGTGGATGAGGTGGTGGAGAGGGCGGAGGCGAGGGTTGGGACGTAGGGGACTGTGAGGAGGCCGTCGGTTAGACCGCCGATGAAGAGGAGGGCGTTGGTGCTGGGGGTGCTGTTGGGAGGGGTGAATTCGAAGGCGACGAGGCGGGGGGCCTGTTGTGGTGGTGATGGTGGTTAGTTGGGTATAGATGTGGAGGGATGGAGGGGATGTACGTAGTGGTGGAGGATGCCGGGGTGAGACATGTTAGTTGGTTGTGCTTGTAGTTGTAGTTGTGTTAGAGTGAGGATGTCTGTGTGTAAAAGGGATTGGAGAGTAGTTTTATGTCAGATAGTGGTAGGTAGAAGGTTGTTAGCGCATTGCTGCTAGCTGCGATGGATTGTGGTTCAAGAGATGCGCAACTACTGCCGGCCCACTGCTTGCATGAGCGGGGTCTTTTAGTGTGGACAGGCTGATACGGAGGTCGTTGGATACTAGCCATATGAGAAACAGATTATATGGGCATATCTAGCAGCTGGGAGGTATGCTACTTATATACGGCACTCCATTAATCAATCCAATGCCAACTTATACTCGTATAAGATTAATCTTATAATCCGACTGAATGATGCTGGTATCGCACTAGTGGGGCGTAATGTGTATTTACAGGTACCGCCAAGCCCACTTGCCCGGAACAGGAAAACAGCATAGCTCCATCCATCATTCTTCATTTCAGTTATCTTTCTTTTTCTTGCTACTCCCCGCTGATCGATGCTTCAATCTCTCAATCAAGAGACACAATCTGTTTACAGCATGCCTGATAGCTAGCGCAGCGATTGCCCGCCAGCAGCCAAAAAATTTACCCGCCTACCGCAGCTCATGCGCAATGCGACGAACATCTATTCTAACCCTCTAGAAAATCGCACTTACTACTCCGCACTTCGCCCAATTCATAATGCCTCGCCCCCGCAGGTCCAATCGCGCCTCTGGCGCCAGGACAAAATACATCCATGACCCTTTCGAAGCGGCCGGTCTCAGCGACGAAGGAGAGGGTCCCTCCACCTCCGAAACTCCGCAGCGCAAAAAGGGCAAGGGGAAGGCGAAACAAGCTGTCGCGGATGAGGGTTCCTCGGACGAAGACTTTGCCATGGATAATGCCAACGGCGATGACGACGACGACGATGATGACGAATACAACGATAATGACGTGGAAATGGTCCTTGAGAATGAAGGTGAAGATGCAGAGGAAGACGACGATGCGTCGGCCTCAGAAGTCGACGGGGGCAGTCGTCGTCAGCGGAAGAAGCCCGCTGCTGCCGCTACGCCAAAGCCCAGCAGCAGTGTTAAAAAACGTCGTCCGGATGGGAGCCTTGCTGTGTCTGGGGAGGAGACGCATTCGCGCGGATCGTGGAACCCCCTTGAGCATGTTGGAAAGGCGGTTCATCTGCGCGTTACATTCGGCACGGATGAGAGGGATATACTCTCGATTATAAGTGCGCGGGATCGTTGGTATAAGGGGGTGGATTCTACGTTTCCGACGCGCGAGACTTTGAACGAGTCGCATGATTTGCCAGATTATGGATATGGGAATTCATTTGGCTTGGAGGCTGAGGACATGAAACGGGAAAGCTCCCGTGCATGGGACTGGTACTATAGTAAGGATGTGGGTGCACCGTTTAGGAAGAGGCAGCGCCTTCAGAAGCTTAAAGAAAATGACGCTCGCTCGGTCTACTTTCCTCGTTCCCGAGGACCACACACCGTGCTCGCTGGCCCGGTTGATGACCAGAAGGTCTTTTCCCTCGCGCAGAATGATGTGCTTGATTTCGGGGAGGCATGGAATGATGATACTACAGCTCAGAAACAAGGGAAGCAAGCCAAGACAAAACAGTTTGAACGAAAGAAAAAGAAGCGAGAGGGTTGGCTTCTTAATTTGGGGAACAAAGTCCAGTGTTTGGCCTGGGTGCCAAATCAAACTGGCCTCACGCAGTATCTGTCCGTCGTGGCTCCAATCCTACCAGACCAAAAAGAGCACTATCCAGATCCGTACAAAGACCAGGCAGCTCCAGCATTCAGACCCTCAGCGCCTTATCCGTCCGCCCTGCAGCTTTGGGAGTTCAAGGCTGAAGAAGCCGCGTCACCAACCAAGACAACCGATATGACCTCCAAGCCGCGATTACGCCTCGCGCTGTGTACCGACTGGGGCGATCTGAGGCGAATGGCCTGGTGCCCAATGCCTCGAGACCCGCGGAACGAAGACGACAAAGACGCGCAGGATAACGTCGGCCTACTGGCAGGCATATGGGGAGATGGCCGGGTGAGGGTTATCGACGTCAAATTGAGCCGTGACTCAAACCAGACCGAATACTGTACGTCCACCTACCAAAGCAAAGCCCAAGGCGCAAACTAACTGTTCAGACAAACTGCAATCCCCCGTCTTCGAAGCAAAACCACATTCGACCGTATGCACCTCTGTAACATGGCTCTCTCCCAGCGACATCGCCGTAGGCTGCGCCAACGGATTCGTCGCCATCTGGAGCATCGTCTCATCGCCATCTTCCCCCTCCAATCCCATCCCCTACTTCTACCAGCAACTCCACTCGACGTGGATCCTCAACCTCGCCTCCGCCTACCCAACCCATCCCTATCTCATCAGCACCACCTCCATGGACGGCGAAAGCCGACTCACCTCCATCATCGACCCCCAAAAAGACAGCGTCAGCGCAAACCGCATGCGCGTAGGCACCGCTCACCTCACCTACTCCCCACTCCTGCACTCCTTCGTCTCGGGCGACGAAAACGACTTTCTGCGCCTCCTCGCCATCCGCCGCTTCTTCACCTCCACCGCCGTGGCTCGTCTCCCGAGCATGGTCTCCGCCCTCGGACCCTGCAGCTTCTGGCACCCAAGCCTTCTCGTCGGCTGCACCGGCGGCACCGTGCAAGCCACGAATCCCCTCCGACGAATGATGCACGCCAAGGAGAAACAATGGCAACAGACCTGGTTCCAGCATGAGTGGGCGCGTGGCTCAGGCACCGGTACGGGCACTAGTCGGTTTCACGACGGCTACCGCGCCGAACACACCAGCTTGCTGCGTAATCTGGTCGGTGACCCGAGACTGATTAACGGGACGGCGGTGATAACTATCTTTGATGAAGAAACCCACGTCACCGCGCTCTCGTGGAATCCGAATCGCGTGTGCGCCGGGTGGGCTGCGGCGGGGATGGGATGTGGCCTGGTTCGGGTAGAGGATTTGGCATTGTCGTGAGGGTTAGGAATCAGCATGGCTTGGTAGTAGAGACGAAGAATACTTTGATCATAATCGAAGGACCAAAAGAATAACCCTTCGACCGCTAAATGTATTACGTAGAATACGTCTGAGGAGTATCATACATGCATGCAGGGTCCGTCGATCAGCAGTATCTTGAAGCCTGCCTGAGGCTCGTAGGGCAGCATGCGTGCCTCAGTAAATAGCGATACTGCTCTCTTGAGGCATGTATATTGTGATATTTAAATGCAAGATCATACACATATACCTAAGGTATATATATGTCACTATACAGAATTGATTTTCTAGAATCAATGTAAATCTCCTTCAACTACCAGCGTTCAACCTCGTTCGCAGCATCGGAAACGGCGCAATGGAAAAGTATTCAGCATCTGGCAGCGATGCCTGTGTATCATTCTGTCAGTCACAGCGACTTTTCGACCTCATACCATCAAATTGTCAGCACAACCGATTATGGCACTGATCCATCTTTCTCCCACTCCATGACGTCTTACTCACGGGCAATGCTCTCTTCCTGCTCCTGATCAGCTCCATAGCCAACATCATCAATACTGAAAATCACCGGCAAGGCGGGCCAAGACGGTGGCCTCACGAGGTTCAGGAATAAACGTGGAAGACGATGCTTAGGTGAATCCAGCACTTGCCTAGAAAGGGTTGATCTAGGTGCGGTAACCTGTCAGATTGATAGAACGACCACATAGAATGAATGGGGTGGGATAGGTCTTTGACGCGCGAATGGCGCAGAAACAGCGATCTAGTGACAGGCCGAATTTAGTTGTGCTTTTTGCTTTTGATGTGACTATTGCGCATTTTTGTATGTCTTTCTGCTTTGGGATATAGGGTTTGGCGAAGCGCCTGCATAGTCAGTCAACTTATATAGACGGGCTCCAACAGGTAAATAAGGTCTTGGTTGATTGATTGATGACCGATTGCTTCTTCTTATTGCTCCTGCTTTATCTGCCATAATATGGAATAGCATATAAGGCGAAGTGTCGACCTCTCCCGCTTCTTTTCATGACCGGCATTATCAATTCATTCAAAAAACGAATTATAAACCTTTCCCCCACCTTAGCTCTTTGGCTAAGGAAACAAAAAATGGGCAAGAGAAGGTGATTCTCCAGTTTCTGCCCCGTTATTTGCGCACAACCAGACTAACAAACGCAACAGGCTTTCGTAAAGTCTGCCCATAACGGATGTAATGACATGCTTTGACATAGGAGACCGGCGAATCCGCACGTTTTGGATCCTGCAGATGTCCTGCTTTGTATGGTTGCTGTATTTCTCTTGGAACGCGGGCCTATTATCGGACGAAAAAGCTCCTCTACAAGCTGAGGTACTAGGAAATGACAATACCCTATGTTCTGGTTATGCAACCGCTAACCGACTCGACTCTTTTAGCAAAGCTCGGTGCGTTCACCTTACATCGACGTCTTCTTAGCCCTCGCCACCGGCTGTGCCCTCGACGCGACAGCGATAGTCTTTAACTTCAATCGTTTTCTTATCCAACAGTTTCATTATTTTATAAGCCTACGGATGGTGATGCTGGCAATGTTAATTTCAGTCTCGTTACCTCTCGCCATGCATCATCATAAGGCGCCGAAAATCTGGGTTTCTGCGCTCGTCATATGTGCAAGTGGTTTTATATATGCTTCGTTTATCATCATTACAGACCGATTGCACACACTTTTCTCAAACAGGCGCCTCAGTGCTAGACATGGCTCCATGACTGAATTTGTCAATCATATGAGCTTAGTCGATATATCGTGGACACGCTGCTTGGTTGCCTTATCTGCAAATATGTTGTTAGTACCCACTCACAATCTCGTCGGTTATCTCGTCGCGATACTGTTAGTGGAAAATGCAGGCGTTCCTGTTGCAACATACATCAAACCGATTGTGATAGTTTTCATGGATAGTGTAGACTTTTTGCCGCACATTATCCCGTCAAGCTACGCTATTGCTTTTGACCAGGTGAAAATTATCAAATCGTAAATACCGTCAGCTGTAACTGGGCCTCTTTATATCTACCTCATCGTTGTAGGGAAGGTCGGGGGAATTTATCGAATAAAATAGATATGTCTAAATCGAGCAAAGACCCGACATCGAATCCCAGATCCTCAATACCCTTTCTCCAACACCATACAGCTGTCTATCACTGAAGCAATTGAGCGGTGGTCTGGGCAATTTCACTTTTCGAGGAACTCTCGATATACCAACCCCAAATAACCGGCGAAGCGTCATCATCAAGCTCGGTTTGGCACACACCAGAACCGGCACCCTTGACTTGCCCACAATCCGCTGCGTACGTCCCATATTCCTCACTGCATGCACCCTTTACCCCCACTTACTTACAAACCACCAGGCAGCCGAAACCGTATCTCTATAAGCCATCCACGGCAGCGTCTTCACGCATAACCACCTGTCAATTCAATCTCCCTGCCACCTTCAGCTCGACACTCGCACACATCTCCAGGTCATAGAGGACATCCCCAACAGCGGAACCCTGCGAAGATACCTCTTTCTCAACAATGCGCTCCCCGACTCAACCGCACGAATGATTAGCCACGGCCTCGGACGATGGCTCGCCACATTTCACGCGCGCGATTGGAGTCGGGGCGGCGACGATGTAATGGCGACGTTCCATCAGAACACAGCTGCTCTACAGACACTGACAATGCCATACGAATACGCGATGAGCCTGTTTGGCGATGATCCGCTCGCTAGGGCGAGCGTCCTGGATGCGTTTTCCCCGGATCACCCGAGCCGGCTACGCATCATTCATGGGGATTATACTACACGGAAGTACGTCATAGCATGCCCCCGAACACCCGGGGCAATCAACTAGTAGTTGATCCAGCTAACCAATCTTCTGAATGAAATCTTCTAGTCCAACCAAGCAAGAGCCAGGAAAACATCAGTTTGGCAATTGTTGACTGGGAACTCTGCCGATATGGCTGCGTCACAGAGGACGTAGGCTTTATTATCACTTCTCTCTACATCCAGTGGCGGTTTGAGGACACGCCGTGCGCTGAATTAATTCTGCGTGAGTTTATTCGAGGATATGGTCCGTTGGACGAGCCGTTAGTCTTTCGAATGGTCGGTTTGATGGGAATCCATCTTCTCATGTGGGAGAAACTGGGTCTGATGAGCGGGGGAAATGTGGACGACGCACGGGTGCAGGAGCTCCAGGCGCATGCAAAGAACTTCTTCATCAACGGGGCCCAGAAGAATAGAGAATGGTTGCTGGATGATGGTGTTTTAGGCGATTTCCTCAGGGCTGAATAATGTGAGAACTATATATCTAGATACTATACTAGGCGTACTGATTACATCAAAAAGTTTTAAAGGTACCCTATAGTAATCATCTTTTCCTTAGAAAGTATTATTTAATGAGAAGAGTACTACCAGAACAACACAAGTTTTACTAAGTAATGTATTCCAGAACTGCGGGACATCAGTGTAATGTTGATCGTTTCCCATATTCGATGTAGTTTATTTGGAGTGATCCATTACCTTCTGCCGAACTGTGATATTTGACCGCCAAGGTTATAATGATATAGACTCCACCCAATCTTCCTATATTCAGTTCTGCTTGGTGAAGAGATATATAAAAGCAAGTATTTGGAGAAACAGAAGCAAAGATTAAAATAGTGATGGAAGAGGCGCGCAAAAGTAAGCGTATGGAGGAACGGAAGCAAAGGTTCAGACTACTTAGATAGGTCTGGACCGAGGGCTAATAATATCCGACATGCTCGCTTATCCCGAGGGAACATCAGCCAACCAATTTTTGACATCCTGTCATTTTGGCTTCAGCACCAAGCTTTAGATCTATGCCTGATAAGGAAGAGATATCATGTTAGGCGCCCCATGTGGCGGCCACAGGGAAATGAATTGAAATCGTGGTGCATTCCGGCTGGACGCTGGACGTGTCGAAATTTCCACGGGGAAGCAAACAACTAGTGGGAAATCCAGGCATTCCACTTCTCATCAGACATCACAGATATGAATGGCAACAAACAACAAATCAAAGGGGATAATCAGCCCTCTCCACTGAAGATTGGGGGGAGCCAACTTGGGGGCCAAAAGAGCTGACTGGTTCATGGCTGATCCATCCAGCATTCCGTTGCGTGGTGCCCCCACCCCCTTCCCGGCCATCGGATTTGATTCCCAAATCCCACCATCTCTTGTTATATCAATGATATAGAGGGTAGTTGTTATGATAGACAAACACTCAAAGCAAAGCAATAGTAGACCTTGTTTTTTTTTTCTGACTGAATCCAGTTGGAGAAGTTTATTCCCCCTGATAAAGCCCCCAAAGTTGCGCTTTCTGACCACCTGGAAATCTGACAACAGCATCCTTCAGCTCTTCTCAGCATCTCTTGGGGCCGATCCCCATCGGATGAACATCTCTCATGCCTCATTAGGCATGGCTGAACTGCATGTCAGCGGAGTCCCAACACCCAAATCCAATCCTTCAAGTTTTGACCCGCTCCAGGCCTGCGAGGCCATCACCATTGCCCGCCTTGCAGCAATGTGCCCCGGTCGCATTCTTTCGTTTCATAATCTCACCCTCGGCCAGAAGTCATCCTTCGTCTGGCAGCTTCTCCCTTCCTTTTCTCTTCTTCTGCTTCCCTCCCCATCGCAGGCTGTTTAATGCCTGCTGAAGTATCCATGATATGATGCGACCGCTACTTCTCCCCCTATTGGGGGCATTTCTGCAGACCTCTTCTGCATCCAATCCCTATGTAATGAGCTGGTCCTCGCAGGCCTACGGTCCAGATGGCCCGTGGCAGGCCGTATCCGTCGACGTGGGCAGCAACAAGCAGACGGTCGATCTTTACCCCGGTGCCAACTATGCTAGCACGATCCTGATGAGCACTCTCTGCACGAACAAAACTCTGTCATCCACCTGCTACGCCGCTGAAGCAGGCACCTTCAACCAAAACACCTCCACCACCGCCTACACCACTCCCAGCTCGTGGGAAACAACATACTGGGCCGTGGAGGGTGGAAGCAAAGAATCTGTGCTCGGCGATGAAGTCACCTTAGGGTCGTTTGTCGTTCCCAATGTGAGCTTCGAAGCCATCTACCAGACCTATCAGACTTATCCCAATGGCATTGCCTATCCCGTCTCGGTTGGCAGTCTGGCCCTGGGGGGTCCGTACCTCTCGGATACTGTGTCCAACTCCACCGTTCTGAACATGATTGCCGGGTGGCTTTACTCGTCCAATGACATCCCTTCCTACTCGTATGGAATGCATATAGGGTCAGTAGACCCAGAGATTGCCGGTTCTCTGGTCTTGGGTGGTTACGATAAGAGCCGAGTGATCGGAGACGTGAGTGCCCAAGGAGTAGCGTCTTCGAGTGGTCTTTTGGAACTCGAATTGAAGGATATTGGGCTTGGGGTTGCTGCGGGTTCCTCTCCCTTCAGCTTCACCAACGAAAGTGGATTGTTTCTTCAGAGCAGTGGCTCCGTCCAGGCCAAGACGGTTCAGATCGATCCGACCAAGCCCTACATGTACCTTCCCCAGGCGACTTGCGATGCCATCACCTCCACCATGCCGATCTCCTTCAACTCTAGCTTGGGACTATACTTTTGGGATACCACCAGCAGCGATTATTGGAATATCACGTCTTCTGCAGCATACCTCTCCTTCGTCTTCAACATGAATGGAGTGAACAATAAAAATATCACCATCAAAATTCCCTTTTCCCAGCTCAATCTTACGCTACAAGAACCGCTGGTCGATCAAAACGTCACCTACTTCCCGTGCTTCCTCACTACCTCCACCCCGGTGCTCGGTCGTGCCTTTCTCCAGTCCGCATTCGTTGGGGTTAACTGGTTCAACGGGAACAACTCTGGCACGTGGTTCCTGGCACAAGCACCCGGCCCGGATTATGCCAGCGCAGACATCACCCGGATCGCAGTGGGTGACACGTCGCTTGCTGCCTCTAACGGTACCTGGGAGGACAGCTGGGCTACATACTGGGGCATCAAAACGACCGACAATTCGAGTAGCTCCAAGGGTGGCCTGTCTTCGGGGGCCAAGATTGGAATTGGCGTTGGTGTGGGAGTCGGTGGAGCAGTGTTGATCGCAGCGGGTATAGCCATCGCACTTTGTCTTCGCCGTCGCCGCGGAGCGACGAGTCAAGAGGCAGCTGGAGAGCAGCGGAGGTCAATGTTTAGAGGGTTCGCGGAGTTGCCGGGAGGTGCTCAAAGTGAAGCGGCCAAGGAGTTGGATACAAAGATGCATAAGCCGCCGCAGGAGATGATGGGTTCGCAGGAGGTAGAGCGATACGAGCTGGGCTAATTCTGATCTTGATACGTCAAGAGATATCTATAGTATACCCCAAGATACCATATATGTGCGAATATAATACCTATTTTCTTATGTTATCTTGCATACATTATGGGTTAATCGATGGCTTTGCTCTGATAGAATCATTTACTACAACTTTTAATTTCAGTCCAGATACATAACCATTCAACATGACTCATTTTACAAACCAGCAGTAAGCTGACCCAGTGTATTAGAACACAACTCCTTCCCACCTCTTTTGTACCGATGAATTGGTAGGGTTTCGATCCTCGGAGATTGTGATTAGCAAAGAACGTGGATCTAGACCCGATCGGACGCGAGCTTGGCATCAACTCTATCAAGATGGCCCCACTCCAAAAGACTGCCTCTTTGGGATGTGACACCAAATGCATCCATGGTTTAATAGAGATGTAACATTGCCAGCGCTATATTACAAATCCCAACACATAGTATTAAGGCCCATCTATATACGATCGATCAACAGCCCCATTGCCCATCATCCTATTCACCTTCCACCCATTTCAAAACCCCCATCCCATACTCAGCATCCACTATACCCTCACATCAAAATGAGCCACGACAACATCTCCCTCAACGGCTGGACCAGCACTCCCGCCAACGCCGGCCTCATCTTCCCCGACAAGCCCTTCATCCACCCACCCACCCCCATCCCCATCACCGACATCCCCTTCCCATCTACCGATCCCCTCGTCGCCAGGACCCTCGAATCCGTCCAATCCCACCTCCCCCCCGACACCATTAACCACTCTATGCGCGTATACTACTACGGTCCCCCTTCCCCCTATCCCCAACCCTTACCGCCCCCTCACTAACAATCATTCAAGGAATGATCCTCCTAAAACAACAATTCCCTACCCACCCCCTCTCCCCCACAACCTGGGCCCTAACCTGCCTCCTGCACGACATCGGCACCGCCCCTACCCTTCCCACCGCAACAAACATGTCCTTCGACCTCCACGGAGGCATTTTCGCCCACTCTCTCTTAGCTTCCTTCGACTGTCCCAGTGACATTGCAGATGCCGTAGCAGAAGCTATCATCCGGCATCAGGATCTCGGTGTCGATGGGAATATTACGTTCTTGGGACAGTTGATACAGTTGGCTACGATTTATGATAATGTGGGGGAGCATCCGCAGGTTAAGAACTTTGGAGAGTTGATTCATGAGGATACAAGGAGGGAGATAAATGAGCGCTGGAGTAGGGAGGGGTGGTGTGCGGTGTTCGCTGATGTGCTGAGCGTGGAGGTGCGGGAGAAGCCGTGGTGTCATTCGACGCATATTGTCGGGTTTGAGGGAATGGTTAGGGGGAATAAGCTTTTTGGGGAGTAAATAAAAGGAGGTATTGGTTTAGGGGGTATGAGGGGGGTTTGGTTCCTCGGCATATTGCGTTCAGTTATCTGGTGATTGTGTTAGGCAATGCGATTAGAGTAGTATTAATCGATTTATTGGTTTTCTCAAGCTTAGTCTACATACGGACAAAGACGGAGTGTTCACATAGAGATCTTGTTAGGGACGTTGAAAAACAACGAAGTTGTAGCCCGTTCATCCTTCTTTTGTGCTGTGCTGTCGAGTTCATGATGGCTATATCCGCTGTTATCCATGGTTTGGGTCGGAGCATCCGAGATTGGGATTAGGTTGTCTTTTTATCCGTGTATAATAATAGAAAATGAGAACCTCTCAAGTGGTGAAGAATGTTCTGCACCTGCCGTGGTGCAACCCTATTCTCGTAGAATTATTGGGACCCGCCATGATTAGCTCGCGACTGCCATATGGTTGAAAGAAAGTTGGTGGATATTATGAGAAGAAAGCTTTGGTGGCTGAGACCACTATACTACTCTTATAAATTGACGCTGCATTCGCACTGTTTTGTCCTCCATCCATTCCACAATTGGCCACAGCCAGCCTTCCTAATACTTACTGACTCTAACATCGAGCGTCATAAAACTACATCGAAACTAAACATGGCACAGGGCTCAGGTAGACCGCTTGAAGAGCTGCCCGTCGAGCTCCTTCAAGCGATCCTCGCTGCCGCGCCAGACATCAAAACCCTGGAGGCCGCCGTCATGACCGGACCAAGCCTGTATAACGCCTTCAAAGGAGCAGAAGAGTTCATCGTGCGGCCAGTCGTGCTACGCCAATTCGACTCTAATCTGCTACACGATGTCTTAGCAACTCATGCATCCAGCAACATTCAGGACTGGTCCATCGGCCAAGCCGAAAAGTTCTTGACGCCATACTTTGCCCGCGACCAACACCATTTCGTCGACTCTATGGAATGGAAACTCTCTCGGGCTCGTTCGATAGACCAATTTGGTGAGACCGTGCAGTACCTTGCCGACCGACTAGCGACAAAAGCATTGTCTAACCACACCGCCTGGAGTGGCATACTGTCCTGGGTTGTTCCGCCAACCAAATTGGAGAGAAACCGGATCAGTCGCAGTCTGTATCGATTCGAAACGTTTTGCAATCTGTACCCGTCCTGGAAATATGCACTGAGCTCTGACACCGGTAATCTGTATATCGATAATTTTGCACCATGGGAGAACGAACAATTAGTCTGCGTTTCCGAGTGCTGATACAAACAATTCATCCTCCCGGGTACGTTTGGTCTTTCTTGTTCCATCCTTTTCCGACGACACTATCCTATCAAAACTGACTCAGACAAAACAAATCCTAATTTTTTCGGACCCCAACCTCAATTCTAATTGGCCGGAGCTTATACCCCAAAAGCCTTCGTGGATCTTTCAAACATACGTAGAGGCATACATAGAGTCTCACTTGTTTCGCGGCCTTACTCATATTCGACTATTCGCGCTGGACAAGGACACAGACTTACAACAAATTGCGCAAGTCGTGCGTGGAAGACGAGTCGACGGTATGGGGGTCGACTCTTTCATCAAAGACATGACTCGTTTGCTCGGGCGGGAGGAAACTCCTGATCTCGATAATTTTAGTCCCGAGGACGAAGAAAAGTACATCCCTCGGCCATGGTTCCGTGACCCAGACAGTGGGCCAGAAGATATATGGCGATGGGCCTATCAATGGAACCAGCGAAAACAATTTTTTGCTGCTCGCAGTGCGCAAGCTTTGCGGTCGTGGTTGTTTGTGATGTGGGATCGATGGCGCATCGACGAGATGGGTGTTTTGGTCAAATTGCGGCCGTGGTCTCATAGTGATCGGTAGAAATCTATTTAGTCGTGAGAAAGACGGCGGCTGGAATGCTTGAAGATTGGTATGTTCGTAAACGCAGACTAGCTCAATACTACATCCTTTCGGAATCTGGCAGTAGGGTATATTTCCATTGAATGCCCGTGATGATCGTGGTAGTGTTATCTCGGTCCGGAGAGTGTGAGATTGCAGTAGCCCACGTCCTTTGGGTTCTTTTGCTTGCTCCATATATCAATTCTTCTCTCTAGCCCCTCATTTTCTGTCACTTTCATAATATTATAGCCCCGAAAAAGATGCTCCACCTAATGATGCTGCTCTATTACGCCCTTCACGGTCTAAACCACAGCAGATCCAATCCGCACTTATAATATCCCACCGATTCTGAACAACTAATATGACGACACCATCATACACCCACAAACCAACCCTAATAAGGCCATACCTTTTCATGCAGTTCCCGTTGTTGATCGCCCTCGGCTAGATTGATAAACTCGCTCTTAAAGTACTCACTCACCATCTTGGCATGCTCATACTCCTCCGGCCGAACCATCCCTCCAATCGGAATGAGTCCTTCTTCTTCTAACTGCTGAACGATGCTGGAAAGCCCCTCAATTAGTTTCCTTTCGCGCTCATGTGCAGCTAGCTCATCGGCATTGAAGTCAACCGGGCATGGTGTGTCATCTTGCCGGAATTGATCTCAGTATGCGGCAACCTTGATCAAAGATTCTAGTACTGTTACGATATTAGTTCAACAAGCTCGACATGTTTAGCTACATACAGCTATCTGTAGCGTTGATATTTGAATAATTCTCCTTTGTTCATGTACACTTCTATGATTCATCAGTTGTATTCGCACTATGAAGCCAAGGAGAAATTACCTGAGCCATCTTCCAGGAGCTTGACTAGCACTGGCTTAGTTCCAGAGCATAGGGTTGTGTGGGTAGTGATATGGTGTCTGACAACGCGTGACACAGTCCTACTAGTAAGGAGGGAGAATGATAGCCTTGGGGGTTGCATTTCTACATTGTGCACCATTTATTGGAGGTCTTATCCCTGGATAATGTCGGCCTTAGCTACTGTTTTAAGTTGCCGGCACGTGGTACTAAGACGAGATAAGCTCTGTCACGTGAAATGCTTGACTCTCATCTTAGGCATCAGCCAATCTCACTATTATATCCTCTTTCACTTCATTTTACAACTCAATTCATCTATCGGAAGTCTTAGTCTTTCTAGGATCTCTAAGGGAGGTAGTAGTCTCACAGTGATATCCTACAATTTCAGGCACAAAGAAATCAGTTTAGCATCCCACGAGGATGGTTTACAACGGGAAGCCAAGTCTAGCCTGCGAACGCTGTCGCCCGCGGCGCCTAAAGGTACCGGCGTGTCTCTATCTTGTGGTTTATTTTACTTTACCATTCTTGTGGTTAGCCGTTATGTACGTTGGCAGACGGCGAGAGGGGCGAAGTGAATCGTTTAAATGTGGAAATGAGCTAAACAAAAACTGCAATCCAATAGTGCGATTGGGGGAAACCAGCATGCTCCCAGTGCATTCGGGCCAAAGTTGACTGTCCCGGGTATCGGTCTGCTTTAGAGTATACCTTTCGTGATCAGAGTCGTGATGTTATTCGCAAGGCACAACTTAGAGCCGAAAGGGAGGCCAAAGAAATCAGCCAGCGACAAAAGCGGACCGTCAAGGGTAACAGCAACCAAATGCTGACGTACTCGCCTGCACCTTCCTCAAGCCTATCGCATCCATCCGCAGAACTGGCGAAGGGATATCTGTTTATGAACTACATTGCCAAGGGTGATCGAGGGGCGTATATGCCGTACCTTTCGACTTTGACAAATCAATTGGAGAGCTCCGCTGTGGACGATGCTCTTACGGCTGCCGGGCTGGCGGCCTTGTCCAATATTCATAGGTCTCCCCAGATGATGTATACAGCCCGTAAACATTATATGACCGCGTTGTCGCAAACTGGTAACTCTCTCGGTAACGCGCATTTATGTACGAGGGATGAAACTTTAGCAACAGTGGTGCTATTGAGCATGTTTGAAGTGAGAGATTCACCTGAGTAGCAAGCTGGCTTATATTAACGAGATTTTTCCCAGGTATTGACCTGTGGCGATGACCTCTTTCTGACAAGATGGATCAATCACTTAGATGGTGCGGCAATTTTGATTGAGACGAGGGGTCGAGAGCAATTATCTCGACCGGAAGGATTGGCGCTATTCAGTCAGTTACGTACCCAGATAGTGAGTCAACCTAGCGGGATTTTCAGCTATATATCTTTCAGCGGGGCAAATATAAAGTCAATTCGGAGAAGATACTGATCAAAAGCTACTTAGGTGCTCAGCCATGTGTATCGGCAAAAGCATACCTCGGCAGTGATTCGTAATCTCAGTCAAGAAGCAGCAAAATACCGACTGAATAAAGATGATGCAATTATCGATCGACTGAGTGGCGTAACTATTCCACTCGGGGATCTCTGTGCAGACATCAAGGAGGGTACAATAAGCTGCCCTTCGGACATAGTGCGTTGCGCCTTAGAATTAGATGCACAACTCCAGTCGATAATGTCCGATATACCTGCTTCAATGGGCTACAGGACTGTCAACGCTGCCCTAGCTCACAGAGTGTCTATGGATAACACTGTTTGGGGAGCCCAATATCACACTTACCGAGATATTACCGTGAGTAGCTTCTGGAACAACTATCGATCTGCCAGGCTGGTACTCCTGGACTTGATTGTTGAAGCAATCAGAGCCATGAACACTCCTTTGCTCGGCAACACAAAGGAAGCGCATTATCATTTATTGCGACAATGTCAGGAAATATCCCGTCAATTAGTTGAGGATATTTGCGCAAGTGTACCATTTCATCTCGGATCAGTCGTGGTTGACAACCATGTCGACCAAACCTCCAGTCATCCAACCTTTCGAAGCTCTTCAGACGCAGATGAGAATCGTGCGTCTCCATTTGTGGTTCCAGCGGCCGGGGGTTTCGCCTTAATGTGGCCTTTGTTGATTGCTGCAGGTTCTGGTTATGCGTCCAAGGAACTTCGAGCTTGGATTGTAGATTGTCTAAACAAGATCGGCCGTTGTATGGGAATAAACCAGGCATTAGCAATGGCACAACTGGTACGAGAGGGCGAAAGTACGCGGGCCTGGTTATCTCCGGAGTATTCTTCACCGGAACAAGACGACCGGGAGGGGGCAGTGTTGGACGAAGCCGGAGCTCTACAGACAGATGATAACGCCTTCCGCTTCTCTACACTGATTTAGTATTATTCAGGCATGAGAAAGGTTTTCGACTCTTCGACTTCTCAAACAACAAATGCGTTTGAATGAAAGATGGCAAAAAAATCAACATTATTATCAAACTCTCGACTTCCAAACTTTTGTGTTTGCCTGATTTCTCGCCACATGGTAGACGCGACCACCGGGAGCTGTTGTATTCGGCTAAGCTGGCTCGTACCATCCAAGGTTATGAGCATTGCGAGGATCAAGAGGCGAAGTATGGAACTGCATATTCCCGGACTGATATGACTGTTTCTGAAAAATTGAATCTGTCCTGTTCACTGCGACGTCAGAACGAGGAGTAAACACACCCAGCACGGCGTACATCAGAACCACAAGGAATTCCTCGATGGTGGCCATGCAAAGCCGGATAGTCACATTTCCATCGACCAAGGAAAATTGACGGTCATGGCTGAAATTGGTGATAAGACTGTATAGCAGACGACAAGCGATCAATGGCAACGCTGACAGAACCACGCCGACGATACGCTTTTGGCTTGGTGCCATCCGAGGGAGGCCCCTGACTGTTGTCGACCACAGAATGCAAAGCACGATGTATATGGCGACAAACAGAATGATTCCAGCTCTGGTTTCGTTTTGTCCTTCAGAATGCTCGGATGTATTCGACGAGTATTGGTTTATTCCGCCGATGATCGAAAGAATCAACGCAATAAGGGCTGGAATATGGAGTAACTGAAAGACTTTGCTGCGACCAGAGATAGCGGTTGCTTTCTTGTTATAGATTCCTAGACTTAATTTATCTGTGTCAGCGTCAAAACTTCCCGGATAAGTATTGGTTCTTACATCTTCGTTGCGACAATGCTGAAGGAACTCAATCTCTGCAATAGCGAAGTTGCTTGGGAGCCTTGGGCTGATGGCCCATGGTCGCAAATCTCATCGAAACTGTCAATTGTGAGTTTCTTGATGGGGTTAAAGCAACAAGGTCATTTAGGGGATAACATACACTCTCTTCAATAAGCCAAGGCTAGACAGCAGCAGTGGAGAGAGCCCCACTGACTGCAATATGATAGCCCACTCCATATCTGAGGTGTTGTCTGGATGCGAATCACTGAGGATCTCCATCGCAGCACCTGCAATTCTGATTCCGCTAAATATGAAGAGGTAGATCCACCCGAGCTGTCTGTGAAAGCCATGGCGGAGGACGACGAAGAGAGTAACAAAGGATATGGGTATATAGACGATCAACTCGGCAATCGCAATACCTTTTTCAGTGACGGCAGTCATTTTTGGTATTATTCCAACCAGGATGCGGACAGAATGACAGGATATATTGCTCTTTCTTTATCTTCCGAGTGACCTGAATGATTCAAAATCTGTATCATCATGGCTCCGAGCTCCAGCATGGCCGAATGCGGCTTTTATAGGCAAACCATGCGAGCAAGTTTACCATGCAAGACTTCTCTTTCACGAAAATTTCTGAAGTCTCGTATGTCCGTACGAAACACATTACCGCTTTTGGCAAGTATCCTTGTTCGGTGGCTGAGACGTGGCCCTACAAGGACAAGGCAGCAGCATCGGATCGGAGGAATTTTCCATGTGATACGTTAAATCTCCGTTCTCGACTAATGCCAAGCTACGTACCAAAATGCTTGTCTAAGCGCGGCCCTTTCTCTAATATTATGGGCGATGCCTAATTGACGTGGGGCTGAGTCCACGTTGCAGGGCTTCGTTTTCTTTGACTTTTTGAGCCGCCGGCTACCCCGCGTTACCGCATCGGGAAATTTTGGTCGTGTCTACGAATCACCTTCCAGATTAGGGCTAGCCCCATCTGCTTATAAGATGCTTTTACGATTGATCGACTTTCGACCTGACGGACATGGAAATATGACTGCATCGGGATACAGTTACGTGCGACACATTTACCATGCACTGCCAGAAAACATGGTTCGGGCACAGAGGAGCAGAGAGGCGCAGCTCAGCGCTGTCAATGCGTCTGATGTCAGTACTTGTCCGAGTTGAAGTTATATAAGATCGAGGAGCTGGACAGAGACTATCTCAATATCACTACTCATCTCAGTCATTTAATTGAATTTTCCACTGCTCATCTGAAGCATTCATCTCTTGTTTAGAAGCTCAGCTGAGAAGACCCAGAAGACCCGATAGCTTCAACTTCACATCAAGATGCTATCCCACAAAATCCTCTCCCTAGCCTCCCTCATAGGGCTATCTCTAGCCCTGCCCAAAGCCAGATCACCCAAACTCGACTCCAACCCCGTCCCTGGCGAATCCCCTCTTTTCGCAACATACACCAGCAAACCCACCCCCATCCCAGCCAACTACACCCGAGTCATCCCAGCAACAGCCTCAGGCCCCGCCGGTCCCGATGACCTACTCTTCCAAAACCTCCTCAGTGCCGAGTGGATCATCTACTCCTTCTACCAACAAGGTGTGGAAGCCTTTAACCCATCCTCCTTCAGCGACCTCGGCTACCCAAACAGCACCTACGACCGCATCGCCGAAATCCGCGACAACGAAGCCGGCCACATCCGCATCTTCCAGGACGAAATCTCCTCTACATCCCTAAAACCGGGCCCCTGCAACTACAGTTTCGGCTTCGACAACGACCCCGAAACCTTCCTCGCCCTTCAAGTCTATATCGAAGTCAACAGCATGGCCTTCCTGACCGGCCTTGTCCGCGAATCCAACACAACCGATACCAGCTCCGCACTCGTCGCCGTTGCCGAAGTCGAGACCCGTCACAACGTCTGGTCCCTCATTGATGTCTGGGACGTGAGTCCCTTCGCTGGACCGGCGGATACGGTGTATCCCTACGCGAACCAGATCCTGGCGTTGACGAATTCCTTCGTCGTGTCTGGGAGTTGTCCTTCTGAGAACCCGGAGTATCCGTACCCGAATCAGAACTTGCCGGAGATTGGGTTTGCGACGAATACTACTACTGGGCATCCCGGGTCGAAGATCCAGTTGGAGTTTAGTAGTGATCCCGGGTTTACCGAGGGTGGGGATTACTATGCGGTGTTCTTTCATGGGGTGTTGAATATTAGTGTGCCGTTTGATATCAAGACTAATGAGACGGTTATTCCGGGGGAGTTTGATAAGGGGGCGGGTATTATTGCTCTCGCTGTGGCTGATGAGGCTGGGGCGCCGACGGAGGACAGTGTCCTTGCTGGGCCGTTGTTGTTGTTACAGCAGCCGGAGAAGTTGACTCTTTTGGAGCCTTGATTTAGTTGTGATGGATGGGATGGGGTAGTTGGTATCGGGTTTGGGTGTAAGCGATGAAGTGCTGGGTGTGGGGGCTGAGTGAGATGCAGTCATACTTATGACGATTATTTATGTGACGTCCAATTGCCATGAGATATCATGCAATATGGATCCTGTAGATATCCCGCCATAGCCACACTAGGCTGTAGCATTCTCGTATTCTCATTCATCTACTGTCAATCCTAATCATCATTGCTATAGCCAGTATGAGCCCACTATACGGACCGGCCGACTACTACAACCCAAAGCCAAACTAATGTAGATCATCTGTTACAGATCTGTCATATTTACACCCGAGCCCATCCAAGCATCAATCTCATCTAAACAATCTCCACCGTAGCAGTTTCACCCCCCTCAAAGATAGGACACGACCTGCTATCCGTACCTGCTAGCAATCTATCCCACAGACCAACACCCCTTCTCTCAAAAGCGCCTGGCTTGCGCGTCGATGGCACTAATATGAGGAACCATGTTTCCGGGCCCATCCTCTGATTCCGTTCAGACACCCAAGAAAATAACCGGAGGCAGTAATATGATTCGTCTGGATTGTTCATCTCCGGCTGGTCTAGAGTCACACTTACCATGTCTCCAGTCGAGCACTGCACACAGGCATCTCGTCGAAATTCTTCTTCATCGATGATGGGACCGTGGTGATCTCCTCCAGCGGTTTCGTGTGTTTGTTCAGGGAATATGAGCTTTACCTGCGCAAAGGCGCTCGTTAACACAATATAACCGTCTGTAACAGCACTCATAGGGTCCTCCAGTAGCTCATGTTGACAGTGAACTCGCTCAACGAAACACTGATCAACGGCCACGGGTTCATATTTCCATATCTCCAAGGGAAGGTCAAATCGATAGGAAACGGGTCTTCCCACTGATGCCCACGACCAGCTCGGGATATAATATGCAGCTTCATTCGCGTTCACAGTCCCACTCTCCGGTACCTCCGCACCTTCATCAAGGGGCTCAACCTCCCATGCCAAATCAAAAGGGAGCTCTTTCCTCCAAAGACCAGCCAGATACTCATCCGCTGCTTCGGGCCCTTGCCGCATATGATTCCCCACCATTTTTGCGAGCCCGGAAATAGCCCGTAACCGATCATGCCTTTTGCTGAGTGACCGGTGGGAATAATCCGAGACAAGATCTCTCCATCTCTGGTATGGTGCCTGGTGAGGTTTGAGCCATAATGCGGAGCCCAGCGATGACCGATGCCACTCCGGGTAGCCATGTCTCTCAGATTGGACTTTCGTCTTCAGGATTTTGGTTTTGATGGAAGCCCCGAGCTTGCCGTAATCAAGTGTCGTATGTCGTGGTACTTGGGGTGCTACCGCATGTCCGCATTCACAGAGCTGGCGACAGAGGCATTCCCAGATCATTTCGTTGCCGTCGTAGCAGAGTCTGCGGTTAGGTAGGACGGACTCTTGTAGGCACCACCCTCTTGTGTCTAGAGATGATCGGTCTCGATATGATCTGGGGTTGAACTTTCCTGGGCGAATTAATAGGTCTAAGGCGGGGGCAGTGTCGGGGCGGGTAGTGTGAAGGAGTTGTTGCCATGTAGGGTCACCGAAGCGCTGTTTGCCGAGGAATCCCAATTTGCATGAGTTGGGTTCCATGACCGAGATGGTTAAGTACGAGTTGAGATAGATATCGTGCATTGCTGATGCATCGTGTAGCCAGGCAATCCGATCATCTTGGACGATGCACAGAGAGTCGACCCATAGATTAGGTATCTCGAGGTTTCGGCAGACAGTGATGGCATCTTGAAGGGCGAGTGGTAACGTGGTGAGTTCGATAGCTTGGTAGTGCGACTCTAGGTTATGAGTTGTTGTGGTCAGGACTTGGTCAAGATCCTTTCCCCAGCAGTAGCTAAGGCATGCGTAGCGTACCGGCTCGACAGGTTCGAAGAGGAATGGCTCGCGTGTCCCATCTGACGAGCCGACATTGATAAGACGCCGCGGTTTGTAATCGGGGTTTGGAGACGTACAAGCTCCGTCATGCTCGTCACAGTATGACAGCCAATGACGAGCTCGTTCAAAAGCTGCCGGTGAGCCTGAATCATGCGTCACTTCAAGAGATTGAGAGAGAAATTTTCCCGTATATTCGGGGCTCTTGCCGACACGCCAATCGAAAAACTGCGCTTCGTAACGTGCAGTGGCAGCTCGTTTGAGAAAGTGGAAGGTTGTAGATTGGTCCAAGTCAACGTCTTCCGTTTCTTCAGGCTGCTGCAGATGCAGGGTAAATTGGGGTACTATGGTAAACCAGTCGTCCTCCGATTTCGCCCGCTGGTAGTCAACTAGACCGAGATACGCGTTCTCTTTTACCCAGCCTGGCTTGACAGCTTCAATGACTTGCAACACCAGATTACAGTCCAAACAGGTAGACGCATTTAGCAGAAAGATGGCAATGGGGGTATTCTCGATACCAATGTAATCCGCCCTTTTCCGCAGAACCACATGAGGACAAGTCTGGTTTGGGTCTGCATCTGGATCGGAGATGGAAGACATATTCGGTATTGCAGCTGAACTTGGGGCTCCTAGGGTAGGATTAAGATTGGCAGTAGCACCTACTGAAAGATGATTGACAGCATCAGTACCCGCTGCCCCGCTCCAACAGAAGGTTTTCTCATCACGCCAGTCGGGCGTTAAGCGATGAACACGAGACAAGCCACCCTGCTCAGCCTCATTTTCTTAGCCAAGGTCAGCAACGCGATGAGGGTCCTAGTCATCCGGGACGAGGTGGGCGGGACAGGTATGGGATTCATCACGACCCATCGCCATAGTAGCCTATCCCATAGAACTGACCTTGATTCTTAGTAGCATATCTAGAGGAAAGAAGTGTCCCCCCTAGGTGCAGCAAACGCAAAGATAAAACTGATGCCCGACAGATGATGCCTGAGGAATGCTTATATCAGGTGATCTCGGTTATAGCTTTCTAACCTAGTTGGACTGATTTGTCCAAATTCAGGTAATGTCAGCCTTAACCTTACGGCTGAGGCTTTTCCGCAAGATTCAATGCCAAGAACCCAACATTAATGACACAGCAATTATACCTAGCTGTGCAGCATAAAACACAACAACATGAATAAATACGAGCGCCAATGTAACCTGAGACTCTGGCTAAATCCTCCGTCCAATCGGATTCCCTACAATCAAACTTGGGATTCGCCGGACTCTCGGCAGCCCTAATCTCTACCAGTAAAGGTTAATCCTACCCCACTTATGATTCGCATGGCTTGGACCCCTGAAATATAGTTCCTTTGCGTGCCTGAATATGGTGCTCGTTATTCGTCTTTCACGTTCTTCGGGTCTTGGCCTTGGGGCTGCCAAGCGGGCGGCGGAGAGTGCCCCGTGGTTCCCTGAATTGGGCGTAAATGCGATCTCTATCATCACTTAATAAAAGCAAGACCCTGCGTCGATGAGGAACTTCAGTCAACATTCTGATCTCAGGGACCTGTCGAAAAGTCGATGTGACTGGTCTTGCTGTTTCAAAATGTCATCTCTAACATCGCACCTTGTCATCGCCTTGGCATTGTCAACCTCCAGCAATGCCCTATCGAACCAGCGAGATGAATCATCCGTGGTTCCATCTCCTTTTGACAGCCTTGAGGATGTAAATGTGGTCAAGAGAGACAGTTCTAAGACAGTAGAAGCTCCCCTAGTGATATATGTCTGTCAGCCCTCCACTTCTATCTATATGACCAACTGAACAGCCCTAATGATTAACAGGGCGACAGCTACTGGATGAACGCCTCGATCGGAACACCTCCGCAGTCACTAAGTTTCCTACTTGATCTTACGCGCTCAAGGGTCGAGCCCGCATACACCCTCGATGAGGACTACACCTGTTCCGACGATGAACTTTGCTCGGAATTCGGCTTCTACAAACCTACCGATTCATCCACTTATCAGCATCTCACCTACACACAGAAACACGATGCAGGCGTCGACTACACCTACTCCGATACCATAACGCTTGGAGACGACGCAGCCGACCAGGTCCCACTGGACATGTACCTCTTGTCCTACATTTCCTGTCAGTTCCACCCATCTTCCTCCCCACTCATAGCCCATCAACTAACACTCAAGTAGACAGCTCCCTCGGCCTCTCCTCCGTCAATACCAGCTTCCCCTACATCCTCGTTGACCGCGGCCTGACCACCTCCCCTTCCTTCAGCCTGATCGGCGACAACGGCAACACCACCACCCCCAGCATTATCTTCGGGGGCATCAATACCTCCAAATTCAACGGACCTCTACAGGCCTTCTCCTTTGCCGACCACACCATCACCAACAATCCCTTCGTCACTCTCGAAGCAGACTCCCTCCAACTAACCACCAACACCAACAACAATTCAACCTACCCCATCGCCTCCTCTACCCCCATAATGCTCAGAACCGACGAACTAATCACTTACCTTCCCAACTCAACCGTCCAATCCCTCTACAACGACCTGAACATAACCACCGACGGCGTGATTTCCTCTTCAAGATTCTACGGCATCCTCCCCTGCTCCCGCCAAGATACTGAATCCCACACTTTCTCTCTGGTTATCGGAAACATGACCTTCTCTGTAGGCTGGGATGAGCTCTTCGTCCCATGGACGCGTGACGGACTGTGCAAGTTCGGAATCCAGGCTCAGGAGTCGGATTACAAGACACATGCGGAGCTGGGTGTTCCGTTTGTGAGAAGAATGTATGTTGCTGTGGATTATAACAATCAGTTTGTTGGGGTTGCGACACTGAAGGATGATGATGATCAAGATGAGGGTGAAGATGAGGTTGTGGAAATTGGCACTGGAACGGCGTTGCCCAGTGCTGTCGGGGATTGGCCGGCTAGTATTACGGCGTATACTCCTGCAGCTTCGACGGGGACGGCTGCTGCCACGTTGACATTCACAACGGCGACGTCGAGTGGTGGGGGTGTGGTGCCGACGGGTCTCTCAGAAATGGGGAGGGCGTTGTTGGTGCCGGGAGTGTTGGGGATGGCGGTTCTGCAGGCTGTCTAGGCCTTGGACCCCGGTAAGATAATTCTGTAGTTGAGGTATTTTCGATAATTGTTTTTGTACTTAGTGATGTATGATGTAGAATCCTGAGCTTGTGTACAACATATGCACCGTTGTCAATTGCTTGCAGTGAATGCTAGATAATGTATGGATTCATTTCCTACCCTCTTCGCTATGCAAGTACTTATAACCCTGAAGATTCCATTATCATTCCACTAACACAATAAACTCAAAAAGCCATATATTTCACCACATCATTCTTAAACAATACTCATATTGTATAAAATCACGTGAACAAACAGCCCTCCAAATCACCTGACAAAGCGGTCAACCATGCCAGAACCCACTGACCGCCGGGATTCGAACGGGATTCCGGGGGATTCCCAACATCCACAGTAGCCTCAATTGTAGACGATGTCCGCCCGGAATTGGTTCTTGGCGCAGCCTTGAACATGCGAATAGGACCAATCATTGACTTTCTTCCCCTGGGAGCGCGCTATTTGAGATATTGTATCATGCTACCTTATCGTCGGGTTTGCGCTCACGTATACATCAAGTCCGACTCATTTCTGCACGGGATTCGTGGATCAATGATCAAGTAGAAAGATGGAAGAGACATAAGTACCCTGCTAGGGGTACAGTCCAGCAGTAAGGTGAAAGTGGTTTTACATAGAAGATTGAAAGACCTCAGAATCAAGATGCTTGACCTCTCACCACCATCCACAACTTCCAGTCAGTTTGACATCACCAGCACTGCAAGCCGTCGGAAAACCCGTAACAGCTGCGACGCCTGTGCCAAGTCCAAAGTCCGCTGTGGGAAGCAACATCCTAGATGTGATCGTTGCGTGTTGAGGAATCAGGCTTGCACTTACGGACTCGCTCGACCGAAAGGACGACCACGGCTTTCTCATCGCTCACCGAGTATCTCTCCCCCCTGCTCGACAGGTCTAGACCTGAACATACTCTCTACGCTCTACGATCCTGAACCGACACCAGACATCTACCTAAACTGCTTTTCGGAAGATACATTCACATCTACGGCAAATCTCATTTCTCCTGACAGTCAACATCTGGAGGACTGGCAGTTCTTGGACCACGAGCTTGTCCTTCCATTTGACAAAACCACCCCTCAACCAACTTTCACACAACAGCCTGTGCAACCAAGTTATCAGATGGACTTGGCACTCAGTTTGGCCTCACCTCTGCCACACTCCTCGCCCGCATCTCTTCCAGGTCCAAGTAACTCTTCGGAGCACGCCCAATCGTGCACTAGCTTGATCTTGGACACACTCAGAACACTTTCACTCCCGCTTGGTTCTTGTCGCCGAAATGCGACTGTGCCTCCATGTCCCAGTCTTGACACACTTCTACGGCTCAATAAGGAGGCAATGGACATCATTAAAGTGGTGGTGGAGTGTGATTGCTCCGTGGAGCCGTATCTTTCCACGTTAGTGGCCGAAGTACTAACCAAGATTCTCAGGTGGTATCATAAAATCATTCTAGATTTCGAATACCTTGATTGTTCAATCCCTACGGTATTGCTATGTCCTCCAATGAGAATCGGGGAGTTCGAACTGAGCAAGCGTGATTCTAGATGGGTGGTAGCCCAAGTGGTCACGAATGAATTGGACAAAGTACAAGCGCTGGTCGAAACCTTCGAACGGCGTTTCTGTTACTTTGATGAACCCGATGAATATCATGAAGTGACGGTCTGTACTGCCTTCGAGGCAGGACTTCGGGAAAGCCTGAAGAATATCAGAAGCCAGGCGGTGGAGAGAATGGCTGGCTAGGGTGACTTTGGTTGCTTAGCGAGTGCATATGGTTTGTCATCCGTGCGATCCCGTACAATCTTGTACATAGGTGATATGGTAAAACGGTGAAACCAACGAATCATGAGAATTGTGCAATCGTCGGGAATTTTAACAATCGTACAATCTTCATTTTTGGCGCGTTCCGGCTTTCTGGCGGTGATCATTCCACAGAACTCTGACACTCGTGCATCGCCGTAGGCCGTGACAATAGTGTAGACAGCTTCTGTGTTCGCACATACTAACAAGGATCCCGCTGTAGCGCATGTACATCCGGCTTGGTTTGTGCATCAGTCCGGTCATCCATCTTCGGTCTGGTTCATGGTATTCAGCATATCTGTTAACCAGTCATTATCCCCCATCAGTGGCAAAGCATCCGACGATATAGACTGGATATTAGGAAGAGTCTGATCAAGGATTGGTGGGACTGGATCAACCAGAGATGACCCTATATGATCAGTATTCAGCCTCGTTTCCCATCCCACGCGGACAGCATGATATGTCTGAGCTATTGTAGAGAAGATATCCGCTTCAGGTCCTCCATCCAGGCCATTAATGGTCGAAACTAGACTCATATGACTGACGATGGTGTCCAAAATCTTCAAGATATCGGCCATTCGTCGAACATTGGCCGTATCCCAAAGCGGACTCTCCAGAGTTGAGAGCTGGAAGAGAGTTGCCAGATTCTGGACCATTTGAGCAAATACGGCGAATGGGAAACCGATGTATTCCCCAGGCGGTATGCTCAAAAAGACGTCGAACCATGACTTTGTGGCGTCAAGACAACCATACAGGTAGTCGAGGTGCTCGTACTTCACATTAACAGTTGACGAAATGGCACCCTTCGGGAGTGCAGACTCATAGAGACTCAACGAAGTATTGTAATGATGCAAAAGAACGATTTCTAGCCAATATGAGCAATGGAAACTGGATGTAGTGTATGTATTTGAGCACTGACTATATCCCTTGGAGTGAGAGCCGTGTCTTCTCATAATTTCTTGGAGGCGTGACTGCAGCTGCGTCTGCATTGGGCGGAGATAAACGGAAGGCGACGGTCGCATCGACTCAACGCTCAATGAACCTCCATACCTGCTACCCAGATTTAGTCTGTCCGTGACTAACTGAAGTCGAACTTGCTGCACAAGAATACCATCATTGGCACACTCTTGCTGCTCTTCAAGAAGGCGAAGACAGTCCTCCAAGTGAGGTGTCCAACGCAAAGAGTCACTCTGCTGAAGGAAGGTCGCGATACTGAGATGAGGTTAGGACATCAGTTATTGTGATGAGACAGGGTTATGGGGAGTCATTACGTTGATGTCAGTAAGAAGCACCCCAGAACAGCCCTGCGCTCCTCCATAACCTGGCGCGGGGGTGCTGTACGGTTTTCGTGTGGCTCTGGATGAACGCACAGCAACATATGCTTCCCCTTCGCTTCTGGATTAAAGAGACCCATCTCGTACACAATCCCGATCGCTAACTGTGCAAACACATAGATGTTGGCTTTGTTGTAGACTTGCTGATTAGACCTTGGCACCGCATGTCAGCCGACAGGCAGTGTCCGTGATGACTGACTACATACCACCCAAGATATAACAAGAGCCCTTGTAGCATATCAAGTTCACGACATGAATATTCATGCACCAACCTCTGCGCGACCGTGTGTTTGATGCGATCAAAGAGAATGCGACGTTGTGCGCTGCTTTTGGACGCGATAGCCATGATACAAATCCAGGTAAAAGGTTTATCACGACGAAGCTTCTGCGCAGTAGTACCTGACGGGACATACAGGCAGGGAAAGTACGGTAGCATCTGAGTAAGGAATATAGTAAAATATTCCTCTGCCTGAATGCTTGTTGGCTCCATTACATGCTCTGTTGATACGCCTGTCGATAAGGAGCCTCCGCCGTCCGAAAGGCTAGCTTCTGGTGTGGATTCTGTGTCATTTGTGCGACGGGTATAAATTGAGCTGAGCCCCGAGCTGCTTATGGAGATGTCAGAATGGCCTGGTGGCGACGCAGCATTGCTGCCGGTGGACTTCTGGTTATCGGGTAATTGCGCCAGCTCTCTGAGTAAAGTTGTAGAAGCATTTCCGGGGTGTACGCCAGCTCGGAGCAGCGCCACCAGATCCTCTATCTTAGTCTCCAGTCGGTTTGTCTTCGATGTACTCTTAGAGACGGCAGATCTTCGAGTGGTCGAGCGGCGGGTAGTAGCAGGCTGGCGGCATTCCTTGTCCAGGCGTTGGCATCTATGAACTTGTTAGGATGGCAGCTGAAACAGGTAAGCAACATACGCACCTCTGGCATTTCCCACCAGCTTTGGAGTAGATGCACTTGCACTTGGCTTGCGAGCAGTCGAAGCAGGACCGACCGTAGGGAGCGGCATAGGTGTCGTCCTGCGGGGAATTGTCCCTGGTGTCGCTCGACTCCGCAGCTGTACTGCGGCCAGTCGAAGCCATTGACCGGCCGCAACGCGCTCCGAAAAGCGTTGCTCAGGAAAGTCAGCAAAACACGTAAACTAACGATGCAAGCAAATGCAAGACATTATAAAAGTCAGTGGGATTGAATAAGTGAGAGAGTGAGAAAGCGCAAACGAGGGCGGCGTGCCCAGGCGCTAGTGGATGACGCTAGCGCCTTAGATATCAGGCACATATATGCAGTTTGAGACGGATAAGCGGGCTTCCAAGTAATCCAAGGCTTCGAAGTAGTGCCTAGTCAGTTCTGCATTGTGGTGCTAGGTTCTTTAGGTGATAAAAATGCGTCTATCATTCGTCATTGTTATTACAATTGTTATTACAAACAATCGCATAACCTCCATACACAGTATAGGCCACAGATCTGCTACAGTTAAGTTTCAGATCCACAAAAGACTAGAAAAGCTTATTAAGACAGGATCTATATATTATACCATATACTCAATGTCTAATGGCACCTCCCTCTTAGTGCTGGTCATCTGTGTAATGGCACAGCGCCAGTAGCTCAAGCCTTATTCTGAACGTGCTTACTCATAGCCCGGATCCGGTAGCCATAGCGGTAGAGTAAGAATGGCACAGGAGCCATGATGGTAGCCAAGATACCCACCATGGTGAGCACCCAGTGTGGAGTCATATGTTGGTACATCGGCACAGATGCGGGCAGTAATGCGCCAGAGATGACATAGCGGCTAAACGAGACGAAGGCGAGGGCGGAACCGGCATAGGTTGTGTACACGAAACAGATGTAGAGGTACGTCGCCGTGAAGATGGTGACGAGAGAGTAGCCGAAAACGAACGTGCTGATAATTGGTGACCAGATGCTGACACCGGGCTGTGTCCTGCTGTCAGTAATGTTGTGGTTTCGCAGAACGGGTCAATGACGACTTACATAGCAGGTCCATCCCATCCAGAACAAGGAGATTGGCATCAAAATCGAACCCCCAAGCATTGCCCAATAGAGTGATACCTCCGCCTGTAGGACTTTTCCTTCGGCCGCAGCCTTAGCCGCCGCCTGCTTGGTCCAACGATAGAGGATCGGTATGAGCACGAGGGCAACGGCGTCTCCCGCAAGCATAGACACGAAGATGACGTAGGTGAGGGAGGTGGAGATCCCGTAAGTGTCGGTGAAGATGAAGGGAAATCCATTCAGAAAGGTGAACAATACAATGTATAAGAGGACCAAATAGAAGGAGAAAACCAGGATGATCGGCTCAGTGTAGGTCATCTGAAAAGGACGGTAGACATTGACAAGAAGACGACGACCAAGAGAGCTGGCGGATGCATACTCATCGACCTGGTAGCGAGAATCTCCTGTCTGATCTCGAAGATGCTTGGCTCTCCATTGCAGTAGCAACGGGCCGTAGGTTTCCGGCTGGAATATGGCCACAAATATGAAGACTGCTCCAGCGATGATGAGAGAGATCCAGTCCACCCAGTTAAATGCGGATTTTGGAATGTAAGCTCCAATTATAGGGCCAAGGATAGGCCCAGAGTACGACGCCAAAGTTACAAACGGTAGGCTAAACGTGAGCTCGAGAGGGCTCCAGAGATCACCCACCGTGCCACCCGCAACGGTCATTGGGGCGGCACCAAAGAAACCGGTTAGGAAGCGAAAGACAATAGCAGCGCCGTAATTAGGAGCCAGTGCCTTTCCCATGACGAACAGCATGAAAATAGCCAAATTGGTGAAATAGACAAAATTGCGGCCAAAAGTTTCCGAAATAGGACCGACGAACAGCGAGCCAAAGCCCACACCTATTAAATACATACCTGCTCAAAAAAACCCAATCAGCCTGGCATTTTTAGTGGTTCGTGAGGTCGACTTACCGGTGGTCATGGACCCCGCAATTGCACCCACGCCATAGTGTTCATTAAAGGCATCGGAGACTGGGGCGTCTATGGTACCAGGGATGGTGATGGCCAAGGCGATTAGACAGGTTGCTACCGTGCAAAACCATTTCTTGGGGCGGCTCCAGTTCTGAGGATTGTGAAGGTCTCCGTCTTTCCAGCCAACCAGAAAGGTAACAGAGCCATCTTGCTCGTCTGGACGAGAGATTTGCACCCCAGGTATCAGGGCAGATGCCTTCTCTTCCGGGGTCGATATGCCCGAGGAGCTGTCCGAGCAGGGGTAGAACCTGGCTATTTCCGCCCTCACAGTGTCTCGGAGGCTGGTATACTGACGCAAAGTTGCCATAGCGTTACACGGGTGCTTGGAATTCAGGTTGCAGCGAGGCAGAAGATGGAATGAATTTGCTTAAGCCTAACATGATTGCGGGCAGTGGTCGCAAGGTAATAAATACCCACGGCCATATTCTGTACATCACGCATGATAGTTAAAGTGCAGAAAAGTCCCCGATACATGGGGATTGTTGATGCTGATGATTGTTAAGGGAGCAATGCTCACCCACTCGGGCTTATACAAATCACGGGGAAGCTCACTCTGATCCGCGGGAGAATCACCCCGAGTGGATCGGCGGTTCGGCCACATTCCATGGCTCTGATTGGCCAGCAGCGTCATCAATCATCTTGCCTCAGGCTGACACGGAGGAATGGCTCGCCGATTGTGTCCGACGAAGTGGAATAAATATTAAATGCATGATCTTGACAGTGAATTGCCAGGTTCAACTTCAGTTTCATATAAATTCTCTTTCCTGGTTACAAACATCCATCAGGCCACTCTTTAGCCACAGCGACCGTCACAAGAGGATTTGACCATGTCCGGTCCACCAATTTACAGAAATTGTCGCCTTCATTATGCGACTCTCGAGAGAAGCAATTCCGTAAGATGCTTGACAGAGGGTAATCGATTTGATGTTATGCTCAGGCCTTTGATGTCGGAATTACCTTTGGGATAGAAAGGATGAGGCTGATAAGCGGTGATCATCTAGCCTGTGTAGCCGCGACACGTCAAATCAATCTTGCCCACTACTGCTGTTGGAGATGAGCCTCAAATTCCCATGCGCCGTGTGGGGATCATTCCGGAGAGAGAAGTTCTTTGAGTAGTCCAGTCAGTGGAGATGGGAGGCTCTCCACCCGAGTATGCGTGTTGACATGGCAGATCCCCGAGCTTTTCCTCGCGGTAATCTTGCGAGATCTAAAACTGACAGGTCATTATTAATGCCCGAAAACTGCACAGATCATTTTCTGCGCTTGGTGCACGGTCGACATCTAATTGTCAGCTGTTGAGTCAGATTGCCAATGCTTTTTTCCCACGCTACTAGAGCTGACGTGATTTTCCATGGGCTGCTTAAACTCTAAGATATGCTTACCAAGCCAGCCAACCGAATGCGATGGAAAACACGAGTCCAGCTCATGTTGCATCTTCTCGTATCTAGAGCTGTCGATGATGGCGTGGCTTCGTCTCTGATCAGTAATCATCGACATCTTATCGCAATCACCACCAATGCAGCACGACACCTGGTGGCTGAATAATGGCCGATTCCTTCGTCCATGGAAGCCAAATGGTGCCTTTGTTTGAGCGCTGAATAATCCGAAGAAGTATACCAGCAGAGCTTCACGATAGGTATAAATCCACGAAGATGGCACTCATGAAATATGCATTCTCGCAACAGTCAAGCTCCTCTATTGCTCATCTACTCAGTGGAAAGAAAAGCACACAGTCTTCTGACCAATGGAAAGCCTCATCCGCAACAGTACAGCCGGCCAACTGCTGCGCTGGATAACCAGGAATAAAGTTCTACTACACCCTGAGGAACGTCCGGATTTCCAATGCCCTCATTGCTACGCCGACAGAGCCGCTTCCCCGACACTGTTCGTTCACGAAGGGGATGGCGAGCCGTCCCCGAAGCCCGAATCCGACGCGGAGGATGAACAACGCGAAGATACAACAGAGAAACCGTCTCGATCCGAAACTCCAGACGGAGAAACCCTGGACACAACTGAACTGACCCGCGTGCCTTCGATGGCGGATGTGGAAAAGGTCCAGACCCAAACGGACTTGGCACGTATCTATACGGCTGCCACGCAAACAGAAGCACTGCAGAAGGCTCCTAGCCGACCCATCGCACCCACCAAAACTGCAGATGGTACAATCCTGGTCGATTGGTATACCACTCGCGATCCTGAGAATCCCCAGAACTGGACCACTACCAAGAAGCTCGTCGTCGTCTCTCAGATCTATCTCTACACATTGGTCGTCTACATGGGCTCGTCCATTTACACCCCCAGCGCGACTCAGATTCAAGAACGGTTCGGAGTCTCTTCAACAGCCGCGTCGTTAGGTTTGGCTCTATATGTCCTCGGATACGGCATCGGCCCGATGATCTTCTCCCCGCTTAGCGAGATCCCCAGTGTCGGACGCAACCCTCCATACATCATCACATTCCTCCTATTCATCCTATTCAGCATTGGTGCTGCGGTGGTCAATACATTCGGAGGTCTGCTCGTCCTCCGCTTTCTTCAAGGTTTCTTCGGCAGCCCATGCCTTGCGACCGGTGGTGCCAGCATCGGCGATGTATTCAGTCTCCTAAAGCTACCATACGGTCTCTCTGCATGGGCTGCCTTTGCCACTCTGGGCCCTGCCCTGGGACCCGTCATCTCCGGCTTCAGTGTCCCCGTCAAGGGCTGGCGCTGGTCACTGTGGGAGACAGTCTGGATGTCTTCACCAATCCTAGTGGTGATGTTCTTCTTCCTCCCCGAGACCTTCCCCGACGCCATCCTCCTCCAGCGCGCGCGACGCCTCCGCCGATTGACCGGCAACGACAAACTCCTCTCTCAATCGGAAATCAACCAGAAGAAGCTCACCTTCACCGCAGTGGCCATGGAAGCGCTCTACCGGCCCCTGCAAATCGTAGTCCTCGACCCCGCCATCTTCTTTGTCAACATCTACACTAGTCTCATCTACGGCATCTACTACTCCTTCTTCGAAGTCTTCCCCATCGTCTACATCGAGATGTACCACTTCAACCTCGGCCAGATGGGCCTCGTCTTCCTCAGCATTGCAGTGGCCCTCGCCATCGCCGTCCCTGCCTACTTCATCTACCTGAACAAGATCTTCGAGCCTGAGATCCGCACGCAGGGTCTCCAATCCCCAGAACGACGCCTCATCCCCGCCCTCTTCGCCTGCTTTCTGCCTCCGATCGGATTGTTCCTCTTCGGATGGACTTCCCGCACCTCAGTGCACTGGATCGTCTCGGTGATTGGTATCCTGATCTACACGATCGGCATCTACGTGGTGATTCAGTGCATTTTCATCTACATCCCCATGACGTACCCGCAGTACGCGGCGAGTCTGTTTGCAGGGAATGACCTCATGCGCAGTGCGCTGGCTTGTGGTGCGGTGCTGTTTGCGCGTCCCCTCTATCTCAATCTAGGGGTTGGACCTGGAATTAGTCTGCTGGCGGGGTTGACAGTGGGCTGCATTGCGGGGATGTTTGCGCTGTATCGGTTTGGGGCGACGCTGAGGGCGAGGAGTAGATTTACGGCGAAGTAGATTGGTGGATCGGTTAAACTTGGAGCGATCGATTTCTTCTCTTGATCATGGGTTCGGACTTGCTTTGGTGGTTATCTTGTTATGATGATATATGAAAATAGTAATTAATAATGATTATAACACTGTTTTGCTCTTCAATTCAGCGTGACAATGTCTGCTTAATGGTCGTTCTCATATTGCTCGGGTAATCTAGGATAAGGCGCAGGTCGATAAGGAATGCCACTAACCGCTTTCGGAGGTGCATATAAAGCCGACTGGCATGGTGGAGTTGTTGATATGGAAAGTATCGGTGATGATGTCTAATCGCACAGAATAGATCAGCTCATGTGTAAGAAGGGTCAGCATTGATATATGAGACAAAAGATAGTGTGGTGTCACATTCTCAATCATTCTTGGTATGTTATTCTAGCCTCGTGTCAGACGGGAAATTGTATATGCCTTTTTATTGTAGTAGGTTCAAGCCATCATTGGATAATACGTTATTACATTTTCGAAAATGATGCCAGAATTGACTTACTAAGGCTGATTCATCTATGGACAATAAGTCTGTAGTGATGAGTTCTACTACTTATGAGTTGAATTTGTACAAGTGGGTTATCAGGTCAAATTGTATAGTAGAATCCATTATATATAGTTCCACGGTCAAAGCCTCGGGATCAGAATATCAATCATGAATAAAGTTCCAGGCCTTTTTTCCCTTGAGAGTAATCCAAATTACTACATTCTTGAAAGTAAAAACAGACCTTAGGTTTGCTAGATTCTATTACATATGCTTTGTAGAAGCACAATGGAGGAAGGCATACAAACTCCGGGGCAGCCCTATTACCTGTCCTAATCGGGTAGGGAGTATAGCCAATTCCTTCCGCGGGGAGCACCTTTAAATGCCCCTGCATAAGTGCAAAGAAATGGATACAAAAGCATATAATATTTCATCAAAAATATTTCGAGATTTATAATATAAGTTACGACGATAATGCTCTAATAGAAAGCTTAGATACCATAATCCATGTAAAGTGTGGTATAGACAGTAACTGTTCTTAGCCGTTCCATCAATTATCCCTACTACTTACTATGTAGTCTACAATACTCAATACTACAACTGTACCCTCTGAATTAAGGAGTATCGAGCCGGGCTCCAGTCAGCATCGAAAATGGCTGCGGGCGGAAACCCACGCTAGCCAATCACAACGCTGGACCTGGCCGCTAGGCGAAGCGGGGGGTCATGTGACGCACAGCCCGAATTTTCGGCCACAAACGAAACAGATCCAGCAAAGCAGTAAGACTCTTCCTGACGACCTTTCCGACGACCCTCACGACACCCGTCCGAGTTCTCCCACGACCTTTAGGTGGCATATTCACAATGGCTGTCAGGAACTCCAGTGCGTCGTCCTGTTCTGTCGATTTTTCTCGATCTCGCCAATCCAATCCATACTAATTTGAACTTCGTGATGATTTCAGGTCTCGCCTCTTCTCGCCGCAAGTCGCGCGCCGCCCACTTCAACGCCCCCTCCAGCGAGCGCCGCGTTATCCTCTCTGCTCCTCTCTCGAGCGAGCTCCGCGCCAAGTACAATGTACGTTCGATCAGACCGATGTGATTCCTGTTTTTTTGCAGCCCCTGGGATTTGGTGTGTGTGTGCGGAGATGGATTTGGCATGGTTTCTTTCCGGTCGGGGACAGACTGGACCAGGCCAGCGAGTTGGGGATATGGCAGGAAGATACAAAAACCAGATCCAATCGACAAGCATACGATCCGAGACATCAGGCATGACGAAACAACCTTGGGAGAAATGGTTCTAACGCAAGTCGTTTGATAGGTCCGCTCCATGCCCATCCGCAAGGACGACGAGGTGAGCCAAGGCTGATTCTAACCCGACATCTAATCCACTCGCTAAACTGAGAACAAGGTCATGGTCGTCCGTGGCAGCAACAAGGGCCGTGAGGGCAAGGTCACCAGCGTCTACCGCCTGAAGTGGGCCATCCACGTCGAGCGCATCAGCCGCGACAAGAGCAACGGCCAGAGCGTCCCCATCCCCCTCCACCCCTCCAAGGTCGTCATCAAGAAGCTCCACCTCGACAAGGACCGTGAGGCCATCCTTGAGCGTGTTGGCAAGGGTCGTGAGGCCGCCAAGGCCAAGTCCGCTTAAATCGGGGGATTTTTGTGAGGTTTAGTTCATATCTGGCAAATGGCAGTGATAACGCGGGAGTTCCGGAAGACGCGAACAATATGGGATCTTGCCTACAGTCGGGATATATCTATAAAACATGATGTATTCTGATGAATGAAAAACGAAAAATTCAATTTCCTCTACCTACTTCAATTCGGCACCCCCAGAGACTTTGCGTGTTCTATCCGGTGGACTGGGTGCTGCGACCGTTTCCGGGGACTACCTTATATCTCCGGACGGAGCAGCAGAGCACGGTGCTTTCTCTATCTCAGGAATAGATATTGGGATAGAAGGTGTCGTCCGGACCTTTTCGCCAGTCAGCACTTCCCGGCATTGTGAATCAACCCCAGTTTTGAAGCCATTGCACTTGTGACTGTAGAGCGGTGCTGCCCCTTGTTCTTTCACAGTAGCGTATCCCTTCTGGCCGACTTCGAACACCTTGGATATAACTGTAAATTCTGCTGGATTGTTCAATTCCGGCATGTTATTCCTTAGTAGTGCCAATGCCAGAATCCACGGCGGGTCGGCCAGGCTTAATAATCGGGTTCTCGACTGCCGCAAAAATAGTTGTGGGAAATCCGCATCCCCACCGGTTATCCGTCAGTTATCAGCAGCCATTGTCCCCCCAGCTGGCCATCAGCATCACCGATAACGATGGCCAAGTCCAAAGCTGCCAAGCGCAAGCGCAACGCCCAAGCCGATCTCCCGCAAAAGGTCCCTAAGGCTGCATCCACGGTTCTCACTCCCCCTCCCGATGGCGCCAGTCGAGAGCCGAAAAACCTCAGCACCGTCGTCCCCGACGAGGACCTCGAAATCACCGTTGAGACGCTCACGACCTTGACTCAGTACCCCAGTCTGACCAAGTCGAAAGCATGCAAGGATCTCCGGGTGGCGGTCTACGAGTTCCGCCAGGCCTGTACTACGGGCGTTAACAATGCTGGTATGCTGCTGTTACACTGTCTCTAATCAAAAGTGGCAATTAATCGTTCGGTAGAGGGCGCGAACCTGACCGCACGAATTACCGGCGCCCTGGCCGACAAACGATACCTGGAAGCAAAGATCCTGCTTGCCGAGATGAGAATCCGGGGTGAACAGCCCAAGATCGGAGCCTTGTGTCGCTGGGTACGAGATCTCGACGTCGTCAGCGGCCTCTCCACCCAACCCGAAGCCCGCGAGAAGGCCTCCCTCGAGCGCACCCCTCAGGATCTGGAACTTCTCGGCGTTCTGGATGCCATCCTACGTGTCAGCACTCCCATCGACCTCAGATCGAATGCAGTCGACTCTACGGATCCCATCGCCTTCCAATCCATCTGGGACCTCCGTCCCCAGACCACGCCTCTCCAAGTATATGCCTCCGTCCTCGATAAATCGATCTTGAACGAAGCTCCGAAAGACCCCGCTGCCCTTCGTATCATCGAAACGACACCTGGCCCCCTCCGCAAACCTCCGAATCACCACCCCGCTATCCTCTATACTACACGTCCCAATGCCGTCCCGCTGGACCCCGTTAGCCCATCGATCACATACCATCCCCACCCCGCAGTCCCAGGCCTCGGACTGGCCTTGAACGTCCTTACGCCATCCGAATGCAAGGCCATCATCGCGGCCGGCGAATCCGTCAACTTCTTGCCCGACGTCCCCATGCGCGAGGACGGCGACATGAGCATTCTCGCCCATAACTTCTACTGGGTGATCGACACCACATTCCATGACATGCTCTGGGCACGTATATCCAAGTACGTGCCCCAATCGATCAATGGCCGTCTCGTTCGCGGTATCAACCGTCGTTTCCGGGTATACCGATACGTCCCTGGTGCCGAGTACCGTTGCCACATTGACGGCGCTTGGCCGCCATCGGGTATCCTCCCCGATGATACATATGTGTACGATGCCTCGCCGGAGGATAAGAAGCAGAGCTCCATGTATACCTTCCTCCTCTATCTCAATGATGAGTTCGAGGGCGGTGAGACGACTTTCTTCATGCCGGCCGCGAGGGAAGGGACGCTAAATGCATACCCCGTGCGTCCTGTCATGGGAGCTGTTGCCATTTTCCCACACGGAGAGGCGAACGGGGCGTTGTTGCATGAAGGGACAGGGGTGCGGAAGGGAGCGAAGTATATCATTCGAACGGATGTGGAGTATGATGTTAAGCCTAGCGAGGAGTAAAATTAGATACCAGTATATATGCATATATACAGACAGATTAGTAGATACCAGATTGAAATGTGATTTTTCATATATGTTCCAGCTATATCATGTTCAATATATGACGTGGAGGGTGTTCGTACTGAAGACATTAACACAACGAATCTTCCATGCAAGTAATGCTACACTCGTTATTAGAACAAAAAAACTTGCACTCTTTAGGTACTATCTCGCTCCGAAGTCTGCCGTGCTACCAGTTCATCAGCAGCGCCATTTCCATCCTGCTGCATCCGCTAATATATTCACCGCATCAAGTCAATGGTATACACTGATTGAATCCGGGTCTCTTGAAAAAACTGCTAATAGTGCGAAGTCTAATGCCTTTTAACATACTGCTATAGTAAAGCATACACTATGGTAATCCTGAAATCGAGCCCACTATGAAAATAAATCATAAACGAACACATTATAGAACTATCGATCTAACAGTCGTTGATGAACCAGAACCCTATCGTGGCTGACGTAATGTCATTGTCTCCGTAGACATGAACGATCACGTGCCATAACATCTCAAAGGTCCTAGCGCTATTGAGAGACGAGGGTTGGAATGCAACCATTCCCTTTCCGTAACTAAGCGAGTAAATGTGTACTATATAACCCTAGTCATAAGAAAATCTGGTACATACGACCACAGGGTGTGGAAAACAGGGCTTCCCGTCCGCTCAGCCGTACTTAAGCCACACGCCGGGAGGTTAGTAGTTGGGTGGGTGACCACCAGCGAATCCCTTCTGTTGTATGTTTTTGCCCATGTTTTTTTGGCTCTTTTGTTTGTTGTCTCTTTGCCATTTTATCTTTTTTGTGAGATTACGATTTTACTATGTCTTAGAGCAATGCCGAGTCAACGTGTCTTGAAATTTCAGGACTGGGATCGCTCGAACGCACGTCTGGCATTGGTTGGCATACGTTGGCATACCGTGTTAACGGTAGCACCAGGTTGAAAGTTGAGGTAGCTAATCCTGAGAACTAAGATGCTGGCCAAGCCAGAACAGTAGGTGGGCAGTGGGACTATTTCGTGGAGATTTATCAATCACTCGCACACTTTGTTGAGTTTGGGATCAGAGAGGAGCCATGAAATGAACTATAGTAAAGGAGCAAGCAAGACATTGACTGATCTACAGCAAGTGTCATGATGGATACCTACTGCCATCATCAGCCACAATAGATGGGATCCCAAACTTGTTCTCGATTTAAAAGTAGGGCTCAATTCGAGGCCCGGGTGCTGGAGCTCTTCCGCCAAAAGACACAAATTCACTTCTTAAGAAGACTTGATATCGCATCTAGATGAGAAATTGGAAACAGAGTAACGTTGATGCGCACGTCACTGGAATTTATTAAGAGCGGTACTGCGGACTATGGCATGGTGCGGGCCTACCACTTATTGTAGTATAAATCGAATCACCTGGGTGTTTCCTGGGTACAGTTCATTATACGTTGACCGAGCCACTGGGGTTAGGCATTCCATTCGGCAGCAGAGGTAATGCGAGTGACTGAGGGAGGGCTATGGCCGGTTTCAACTGCTGTGCGGCTGTTCCACCCACCCTTTCTAGGCTGGATTCAAACCAAATTCAGAGTCTCTAGAGATGTTAGGATTCTCTCTTCCTTGTGGCGACACCCAGAATAACACCTCCTACGTCCTAGGAGGGGGAAATTGGTACATTTTATGTACGCCAAAATTCTGATCTCCTAACCCTCCCGAGTGACACCACACAGATACCTTGATTTAAGGAAACCCGAAGGCTGTCAAGGGAGCGCTATTTCACGCCACCGGCGACATCAATGTGATGCTTTCCTGGCATTATGAAAGAGAATCAGTCGTATAGAAGAAAACGAGACATAATAGAGCCGCTGGTTGAAATGTGTCATTTCGGAAAGATAGTTCGAGGTCACTAGGAACAAATGAATGGATCGACTAGGTATGAAAACGGTCCATTGTAGCATCTTCCATTGGTTATTGACGGAAGATTACTCTAGCCGACGCTGCTATCAACAGTGGCTCACACAACTACTGGTATAACCTCGACAATATATACAAACTAAACAAGAAACTCGAACAGTCCAGCCTAGACAGGCTGTCGCTATTTCACCCCACGAGATCAAACCCAAATTCCTCTAGAATCCAGGGCAATCAAACGCCACCCGGTACCAGTTGCACTGGTGGCCACTCTCAGAACAACTGCCCCAAACACCGCCAGAGGGCATTCCATATCCATACAGCCCATCACTGTAGGCAATCTCGTACTTGATCGCACATGACGGACCGCCAACAATGTTCTTGACATCGACAGTATACGGCAGCTGCGAGTCAATGGCGTCTCCTTCCACGAAGTTCTCCGTGTGGCCGATGAGGTTGCATTCGTGGTCGTAGATATAGGCGGCGTTCTTTTGAAGGTCTTCGCACGTGTCGGTAGGTTGGAGCTGGTATGCAGCGAACTGGCAGCTGCCGGCACCTTGGCCTACGCAGAGCTCGGCGCCTGAGGGAACACTATCGGCGAGGGTAAGGGTGGGGACGAGGGAAAGGAGGAGGGATGGGATGAGCTGGGTTGTCTTCATTGTTGCGGTTGTATCTCTTGTTGTAGGTTTGGACAAGTGAGGGAAGTAGTAGTAGAATGGGTATGGAAACAACTTTTTCTTGGATGGCTGTGGACAACCGATTTTGAGGGCAACACAGAGAGGCCGCGTTGCATTTATAGCCGTCTCGTCCTTGACCCTTTCTCCAAATGAGCGTCATACTAGGTGAGCAGAGTCTCGCTGGAGGATCGGGTATTGCCCCGGTTTGTATGGGGTATCGGCAATGCTTAGCGAGGATGTTGGGGGCCAAAGGGGCCAAAAGTGTGATGGAAGCGGGTATAGTGGGTTGATCTTGCGCCCAGCGGGCCATTTAGGAGTGCCATACATGTCTTCAGTCTTTTAGTGGCTGAAGCTTGTTCCAGTGTAGTAGGTGATATGCTGAGAAGGATTACGCGGATCAATCCACAACTTGTGACAACCCTAGGGGGATCGAGGTTGTGACCCTTCAATCTGATGACATGGGGCCAGAATTACCTAAAAGGCCCATTTAAACGAGACCTGTGAGACAAAGCCACGAATTTTATAATTCCAAAGCCGGAGCACCCGGTGAGAATAATTGTCATCATGGTAACGGTCACTCATTTGGCAACTCAACACTCAGATCTCGTAGAATTTTAAGTCCCTTCGATGAGGAATCTCGTCGGCTACAGCCGACGGTGAGAACAGGGAGATGTGGGACATTAGGGCGTATCGAGATTGCTGTCTCAAAACTCAGAGTTTCGCTTCAACTCGGACTTGATCGCTTTCAAAGTGGCTGTAATGACTGTATTGACAGGTTGTCAATGGCACCGCCTGTACGAATTATTGTCTTGAAAAATGTCTACATAAGTCTGTGTCTATGTTCGGATGCTGATTAAACTCCGACAACCGTCTAATGAGCACTTCTCGAACAGAATTTGTCAATATGTGGAGATATATATGTAAAATTCATTCAGAGAAATACAGAGGGGGAAAAGGATTCCTTGTGAAATGTTATGCCATGAGACCAATCAAGCTCAAATGCCGATTGTTGGCGCTGCTGCCAATTGAGCGGGAGAATGGGTCGCTAGGCCGCTAGGGTCCCTTTTTTAATTTAGGCCAGGAAGGGACTTCGTTGTTACCAGTTCACAACCATCACAGAAATTAGTCAAAAAGAATGCTTTTGCTCTTGATACACAATAAACGTGATAGTCTTTCATTTCCCAATTTTTGCAACCGTTTATTGTTGATTAGACTAAGAGTATGCTAGTACTGACTGGTATTGTATTGGGGCACCGCACAGGCATTTCAACGGTTGTGAGCTCAGCCTCTCCTGGCTGTGCCTGCTGATGAAAATTGCATTGAGTGTCGTCCAAGCCTTGTTGCTAATCAGAAACAATAATATGGAGGCTGCTAGCGAGGAGTAAAAGGGATTTAATGATACATAGACACCTGGAAACATGCACATGCCTAGTTGACAGTTGGACTTGCTGTCTCTTACGATACCTTGTTATGAGACAGTGTCTTCGGTAGATCGGTGACTTCCAGGGATTTGGTGAGACGTGAGATTTGGGGTCGGGCTAAGGTACGGATACTATTTCCGCATGGTGGAGGGTCAAACACGCGAGAGAAACTGGCACTTGAGATCAACCACGCTACCATGCAGACAAGAGTTTGAATCATCCAAAAACAATTAATCATTCTGGTGTCCAACCACCGCTAGTCGCTTTTCGTTACCCAGTGGCTACTTTTCGTATTCTTCCAGCGATCCCGAGGCTTGAAAGTGTCCGCTTCGACATGACCTAAGCAAGTGCAATGAAAGAACCACTTCCCGATGGAAGAGAAGCAACCACGCTGTTTAATGAACATTGAAAGTGAATGGGAATCTCTTCCAAGGAACAAGGACTTTTCCAGTGCCTCGGCATAAATAGAATTAAGCTAACAATAACAAGAAGAAAGCATCAGCTTATTGCAACCGAGAAGAGCTGTAAGACGTCTGGATGAATAGTCTGTATATGTTTGGGAATTAGTCACACAAACCTACCTGACACCATTGTATCGGTAGCTAGTCTTGAAGAGTCAATGATATGATCCTATGGGAACCATCTCTCAGAGACCCAGTATGTGCATTACACCTCAACCCTAGCCGCAAAAGTCTGCAAAGCCTTCTTCGAAGCCTCACGCTCATCCAATCTCTTCCAATATGCCAGAAAATTCTCCCGTCCCGGTAACAGCACCCAATCACAGAACCTCATAGACATCAATTTCATCAACCCATAAAAGTGAACATCAGCAGCAGAGAACCTATCCCCACATAGCCAAGTCTTCCCCTCCAACTGATCATCCAGCATGTTCAACGCTTGATTAATCATCACTTTCTGATTCACCCTCGCCTCAGGCGTCGGGAGACGATGGCCTTTATAGAGATCGATAGTAGCGGGATCATTCCTGATCCAAGCAATAACCAGTTGACAAATCTCCAAATCCATCCTTCTCAGCCACATGCGGGTCTCGGCACGCTGTTCCGGCGTATTACCAAAGAGCGATGTGCCTCCAGCGGCGATCTCGTCCAGGTACTCGTAAATGGCCGTGACTTCAGTCAGGATCGTGCCGTCATCCAGTTGAAGGGCGGGGACTTCTCCCCGAGGATTGATCGCGCGATACGGAAGGCGTCGGTTCTGGAGAGTCTTGGTGTCAACGACTTCGACATCGAGGTTGAGACCGCCACGTTCGAGAATGAACAACCTGACGGCCATGGGGTTTGGGGCGGGGGAGTCGTAGAGTTTCATAATGTTGCTAAGCTGTCTTTCTCTTCAAGGATGGCTTTTGCTCAGTGCTTCAGAAGTAGCACATGGGTTTGGCGTACTGGAAGAGATAAGCTCTTATATATGTGCTTATGCTCGGGCAAATATACCATAACGGAATTAGTTGATGCGGGGTTTAACAGGCTCATATATAGCTGGTCAGTGGGGTTGACGCTTCGTAAAACCCGCTAAAGGCCGCTTACGGCCGGTGACTCACCGTATATACGAGAGCTATCGAAAAAGCCACTATTTGCAGGACAAGAGGAAGCTATCTTCGGAAGTGAGATAGGACGTAGATCGGTGTTATCATCCGAAACCCGAGGGCACCTGACTTTACGGTCTTCAACTTTGTTCGATACCTCTAATGTGATTCTATTCTATCTTGGAGAGAGGGAATCGGCGAGTACTTCGTAAACGGACTTTAGGGAGCTTAGATATAACAACGCCCTGCAGCGGAGCTCATAATAACTGCGATGACTGCTTGCACCTCCTGTTAGCAGTATAATTGCGTTTAAAAGGAATGCAAAAGTTATTGTAGACTGTACATGTAAAGTCTATCCGCGTGTAATTCTCATTGAAGATGTTCCCTGTCCTTGTGCTTAGTAACAAATGCTTAGTAAGGAGGATCAAGTTGTCTGGCGTATCTGAACTTAACCAATAAACTACGACAACCACTAGTGTGTCAAAACGTTGACCATGCTTGTATAAAGCTGTCATTAAAATGATGTTTCTAGGATGTGTTGAGCTCGTTCATTATTGTTTCTTCTGCTACGTCTGTCAACCGGAGCATGTTGTTTTGATAATGTTATTATTAATCCCTCGTGTTTGTGGCCTGAAGTTCATGACTATGGGTATTGAGAAAACACTTAGCGGGAGTGGTTCGATGACTGCTAACAAAGCCTCTAAAGAGAGTCCCTGTTGTGAGACAGATGGCTTGGAAAAAGTCTAACCGGCGTGACAGCTTGTTCTGATGATGAAGGTAGCAGAAGTAGCTATCGGCACTCATGTAACCATTCTCCCTAAGTTGACGGTTCGTGCTTAAAACCCCGAAAAATCGTTGGCATCTTCTACATTGTGTTGAAAAGCTTTACTTCAGAGCAACAAGTATCCTCTATGTGGGAATGAGGGTTCATCCTTTCAACATTATCGCTCACCTACAACGAATTATCATCTTCCACAAATGCATTCTTACCGACAGTGAATTTCGTCGCTTGAATTACTGGCTTGTCGCTCAGCATACTATGTCTGAGCAGGGAGGCAATAGTCCGAGTAATGGACGAGATGCGTCGATCTAGTTAGTAATGTTCAAGAAGAAGACTGAGTGTTGTAGTGTCTGTCACTCATTAGAGACACATGTACTATGACATCATTGCAGGTTGAGATGCAATTGAATAAACATACACTGATCAAACGAGAATCACCGACAACAGCACATGAAGGAGAATTTATCCGAAAGGACCTTATCAGACTGAAGGAAATGCAAGGAGCGTCATTATGCATGGTACCTGGAGAATTATCAGCCACATTAGTAGGACACGTCATTTCGCGCTGCTATTTCTTTATGCATCCCGAGAGATTGAGGTTCGACAATATTCTGCTAGGCAACAGGTCAAATATGAGTGGTGAATGCATAAGGAAGAAAGAATGGATTTGTGGCGAAGGTTCTTTCTTTGCAATGCAGAACCACAACGATGATATCATACCGGGTGCTCTGTGCTTACGGTGGGTATCGGGCAGTGTGTTACTCCGAGTTAGGTGCATCGGTATGGAGCAGCCGGACCTCCGGAAGCCATCAAGACAAATCAAAAGTGAGCCCGAGGGTGCATCGTGAGTCGAGTGCCGATGTTTTGATTGGGCGCATATGAACTTCTCCCTGGCGATGATCCACAGGTGGATCTGCCCGGCCCGCCCCACTGTAACCCCAAAATCCCAAATCCGGTTTGGAAACGAACTGCTCCAGTATGACAACATCTAGAATGAATGATTGAGGCAGGATGGTATATCTATCAGACGACCGGCAGGGTATCCAGTCGTGTCAGACCACTCTAAGAGAGGAATAGCTTCTTATCTTTGCCTGTTCCTGTGTGATAGTATCAATTAATGACATCACACTATGTATCCCCACGAACAGCAACCCCAGACCCAGTCATCTCGCAGTTCCTTTTCCGATAAGGGGAAAGACAGCCAGGATAGCGGGGATGATATTGTCCCCGCATTTGGGCTCACTGGAGCCGAGAAAGAAACGGGGTCCATACGCTCAGACGGAAGACGCGAGTTGAAGGAGAACGACTGCTACGATGAGCTGGCCTACTGCTGGCCGAGATGGAAGAAATGGTCGTATCTTGCGGCCATAGCATGCGTCCAAATATCTATGAACTTTAACACCTCTGTTTTTCCAAATGCTGTCAAGCCGTTGTCAGAGGCATTCAATATTGGGGAGCAGGAAGCCCGGACCGGGCAGATGATTTACCTGATCACCTATTCCATTGGATGTGAACTATGGGCGCCTTGGAGTGAAGAATTTGGTCGCTGGCCTATTCTCCAGCTTTCCATGTTCCTTATCAACATCTGGCAAATACCAGCTGCCTTGGCGCCGAATTGGGGCACTATTGTTGTTGCTCGTGGATTGGTCAGTTCCCTGCGTCTGGAATGTGCACTATGTCATGCTAACATGTCTGTAGGGTGGAATCTCGACCGCTGGCGGTAGTGTCACCCTAGGTCTTATTGCTGATCTCTACGAAGCCGAAGACCAGCAGTTCCCTCTGGCATTTATTGTCTTATCGTCTTGCATCGGAACAAGTATTGGAGGTGTCATAGGTGGGCCGATTGAGCGCTGTACGTATCCTTCCATTTTCATAAAGCCGATCGTAAGTTATCCACAAACCACTAACTGTACATGTGACAGACCTTGACTGGCAATGGTTCTTCTGGATCATGTTGATCTTCGGCTTCGTTGTCGAAGCAATCCTCCTCTTCGTCCCCGAAAGCCGCTCGACAATCATCATGGATCGCGAAGCCAAGCGCCGCCGTGAATCTGGCGAAGACCCGAACATCTACGGACCCAACGAGCTCAAAAGCCCCCGCATCTCCCTCAAAGAAGCCGGCAAGATCTGGATCCGTCCCTTCTACATGTTCCTCCGCGAACCGATCGTCCTATGTCTCTCCCTCCTATCCGGATTCTCCGACTCCCTCATTTTCACCTTCCTGGAGAGTTTCTCTATCGTGTACGAAAAGGGCTGGGGCTTCGGTATCCTCGGACAAGCCTGGGCCGTCATCCCGATCAACATCGGCTACGTTATTGCGTACTTCTCATACTTCCCTTGGTTCTGGCGGGACCAGAAAATCCGCGACGCGAAGGGAGACGATGCACTACCTGCTGAGCGGAGACTCAAGTGGCTTCTTTATCTAGCGTTGCTTGAACCGATAGGGCTGTTCGGCTTCGCGTGGACGTCCCTGGGTCAAGAGTATGGTGTGCCGTGGATCGCATCCATGATTTTCTCCACCCTTGTCGGTATCGCCAACTACGCTATTTATCTCTCGTCGGTTGATTACATGGTCGCTGCGTACGGTGTGTACTCTGCTTCTGCAACGGGCGGTAATGCTTTCTGCCGCGATTTGCTGGCCGGTACTGCGGCTATGTATACCACCCCGATGTATGAGAATATCGGAGATAAGTGGCATGTGGAGTATGCTACTACTATCCTGGCTTGTCTTTCGTGCTTGGTGGTGCTTCCAATTTACATCTTCTACTGGAAGGGACCGCAAATTCGCGAGAGGAGCAAATTTGCCCAGACGCTGGCGTCGGATCGGAAGGCTAACCAGGGTCATCGGGTTAGTAAGGAGGATGCTGCACCATGAGAAGATGATAAGGTTTGCAGTTAAGTTTGGAAGACTGGGGCTGGATGCTCTGGACTGTACATTATGCTGGCGTGATGTGATATAGATTTGGGTTGATGACTTTGTATATATGGATTATGACTAGATGCACATATAGAGGGCTGTTACGATAGAGCCCAATGAACTTTTGAATTCGATACTTAAAGGTTGGCTATATTATCGTAAGCGAGGATTCATTGAGTATTCACAAGAAGTTGGAAAGGAGTGACTGAGCTGGATAGGGTCTCGGTCCTCTAACCTGAACTGGTTATGGGTAAGTTTCAACGAGCAAATTGACTTTTGACCAGTAAGTCAGAAATTTACCATAGTTGGTCCAGATTCTGTAGATCTGTTGTTATACCTCGCACTTTTTGTGGTTTCGGTGAGTAACCGCCATTGGAGATGTTGACAAGAGGTCACCTTTCCTGATGAGAGACATTGTAATGGAACCCACACATCCGTCGACATTGTCAACAAATTTGAATTATATGCCGAAGATTCTGGGCTCCTGAGTATAGATATGGCCATGATGCTCCTAGGGAAAGGAGTTTGACTGATTGTTGAACTGTCGGAAAGAAGGCTTGACTGAGATGCAACGACAGTCGGGATGAGATGTAACGTAGCACTCGTTATGACACAGACCGCGTGGGAAAGTAGTCAATACTACAATACACACCATCAATGAACGAGTCTTTCATGGCTCATTGAGCCACACGTGCAGAACATAAATAGTATATCCCGCGTATGACGAGCTGACAGCTCAGGCCGCGGGTGGAGGCGTGTGTATGTGGGGAAGTTGAACAAAGAACGGAATCTTCTTCTATACCATGAGAGGTCGCACAGATCTTGTGAAACACGAAGTATCCAGGATATATTCCGGTTCGTATGTCTTCTTTCGATGAGTTGTGTAACCTGTACACAGGCTTGCTGGCCGAACACAGCCGTGAACACGTTCGGTGGCGCAATGGAAAGGGGAAAGCTTTGATTAGGTGGACGGTTACATTTTTGGCTGTGTTTAGTAGCCATAGTTCTCTATATATTTGTCAATCTTGATGGTAGTAGTTGGTCCCCTTCATTGCATCTTATTCTCACGACTGACTGCTATGATACCATGGCCTCGGAGCGAGATAGAGAGCCCGGGCCCCGGAGAGGAGCCCCCAGTAATGTTCAAACCGGAAAATGGCTCGTCAAGTCTGGCCCAGCAACCGAGCTACTCAGCCCGGAGGAAGACAGAAGGATTCTTCGAAAGATCGACATTTGGTACGAATCCAGCCCAGACCCCGAGAAGAAGCACACCGTCTAACTACCAGTGTCCTCACAGCCTGCTACCTCTCATGTCCATCTCATACATGTTACAATTTCTAGACAAACAGGCCCTCTCATTCACGTCCATTCTAGACCTTCCAGGCGACCTTCATCTTAGCGGTGATGAGTTTGCTTGGGCGAGCGGCATCTACTACTTCGGTTACATGGTTGCTGCATGCCCGGCCGCTATGTTGATGGTCCGCTGGCATGTGGGGAAGACAATTGCTATCTCAATGTGAGAGAGTAACATGAACCGCTTTCAACGGACATCATAATTCTGACTGGAAGACTACAGATGTATATGGGGAGTGATCTTGACAGTAACGGCCGCTTGTGACAGTGCTGCGGGACTCCTGGTTGAGCGATTCTTTCTCGGCGCTGCTGAATCGGCCATTGCCCCAGGCCTAAGCGTCATTGTTGCCATGTGGTACAAGCGATCTGAGCAGCCGCTGAGACAAGCCGCATGGTTCATTGGAAACAGTTTTGCTGGTATAGCCGGTGGTCTGATTGCGTATGGGCTTGGACATATTCAGAGCATGGCACCTTGGAAAGTATGAAGAAGCTCTTGATGGTATTTCCCTTTATCATAGAGACAATTGTTAACCATCACAGGTCGTATTCTTACTGTTTGGTAGTTTAACGGTAGCTTGGTCTCTTGTTTTCATCTTCCTTATGCCTGATACTCCTATGCAGGCTTGGTTCATGAACGACGAGGATCGTCTGAAAGCTGTGACTCGCGTGAGGATGAACATGACAGGGATAAAGAGCAGCGAGTTCAAGTGGAGACAGTGCACCGAAGCGTTGCTAGATGCTAAAACCTGGTTGTTTTGCGCCATAACCTTTCTCGGCCAGGTGCCAAATGGTGCCCTAACCACTGTGAGTTGCCAGCTGCCTTCCTTCGTATTGTGTGCTTAATGTTCCCAAAGGCTAAGTAACCCCAAGTTCGGCACCATAGTCGTCAATGGTCTAGGATTCAGTACCTTCAACTCCCTTCTTCTTCAAGCATCCTGCTACTTGGCTATGCTTATCGCCGTTCTTATTTCCACCGGTGGCAGCTCATATTTCACCAATACTAGAACTTACTGGATGGTGTGGAACCTGTGCCTTGCCACTATCGGCACGGCTCTGATACGCGAGCTTCCAGCTCATCTCATGTGGGGTCGATTCGCCGGCAAATTACTCATGACGGCCGCTGCTGCCAACTTCCCTCTAACGATGTCCTTGTCATCGGGTAATGTTGCGGGCTTTACCAAGAAGATGACGGTGAACACAGCTGTACGTTAAAATCACCTTGTGACCACTACTTATGAAAGTAGTATTCTCGGAGCTACTAAATGCTGACTTCAAACCTTAGATTTTGATCAGTTTTTGTGTTGGAAATATTGTCGGACCCCAGTTATTCTTTGAAAGTCAAGCACCTACCTACACCACCGGATTCCTTGCTATAATGATATGCTACGTCGTGGGGACCATTCTATGTGGGGTAGCTCGCTTCTACCTGGTGTGGGAGAACCAACGTCGCGATGGAGTAAACCCACCACTCCACGGCAACGAGGAAGTTGATGGAGATATTGCTGGTATGCTGGACAAGACAGATAAAGAGACCCCCCAGTTTCGGTATGTTTACTGAAACTAGTACTTGGTTCTGTGTCGCTAGACAAGCTGGCACTCTTTGGTGTTGAATGGTACTTCTAGCCTAGCTGTGATTGAGTCTTATATCCAGTATGCCTGCGTCACGGGCTTGTTTCCATTGAAATAGAGGGATCTAGGATCAGTAAGGTTAGCCATTGAAGATATATATGAGCTCCTGCATGAGGGGTTCGAGCATTTACATTTACAGGCTGTGAGGCATGAACTGTTGGTCTGACCAGCCTTATCTGAGTCACATACTAGGAGGCTGATGTAAGAATAATTCTGTAGGGAGTGCTGAGGCATACTTTCGTACTGTCTTCACTGTCTTAACTTTCTTCTTCTTCTTCTTCTTTTTCTGTACACTGGTTTTGCTAAGGAAAAAAAAAAAAAAAAAAAAAAAAAAAAAAAAAAAA